ATTCGAAATCAAAAAAAAAAATGACAGTATTACAGAATGCTATGAATAAAGAAATACAAGACTTAGAATATTTGTAAATTGTATCACATCATTATAGTTTTCATACATGACAATATTTATAACGATTATTTATTATATTTTATTATATTATGTGGACGATTATTTATTTATTGTTTTTTGACTATGATTTGTGTATATTTAATGTTGACAATTATTAATTATTATTATGAAAAATATGATTTTGGATTATTTATTATGATTTTTTATACTATAATTTAAATATTGATATGATATGATATGATATTATATTATAATTTTTTTTTAATAATATATCATATTAATTTTATACTACTATTTGATTTTCTTCACTGGCGGAGTTTACATAAACTAAATTTTACCTGATATTTTTCAGTGGCGGAGTTTACATGAACCCAATTTTACCTGTTTTTTTTTCTGGCGGAGTTAACAGTAAAAAAAGGTACTTGTGGCGGAGTTTACATGCGCCCTTACACACAACTCACAAGATTAGGTTTGAGAAATAAAGTACCTATAGGTGCTTAAGTGCTTTCTTAGTTCTTACTGATACAAATCATAAAATGTACTTACACAAAAATAATTTTTTTAAAAATCTTTTTAGCATAAAATTAATGGGTAATAAAATACAATTTTTGAATTTTATACTTATTTTTTCCAGTTTAATATAATTTAAGACTTTTAAGTGAGATATTTGAAAACTGTAGTTGTACAATTTCAACTTCGGTGAATTCTTCTTTTTTATTTATATTGGCTATAGCTGATCTGTTAGACATACCCCAATGAGAATATAGGTATGTTTTTACTTATTAGTTTTTTTACAGTTGAAACATAATAAATATAAAAAAAATAATAATAATACAGGCAATGGCAAATGGCCCGTTAGCCCCCCACTCCAGTTTACGATAATACTATCACACGTAAAATATCACATTAATAATATTATATTATAATATATTATTAAAGATATAGATACATAACAATGCGGCGTATAAAATTATAATATTGAAGATATTCTGCTAGTATACATTAATAATTATTCCTGTACAGTGTACAGCTTCGTTGTCAAACTCGAAACTCAGAGACGATAATTTGCCAACATTGTGTATTAGATAGCTTCAAGACCGAATTTAGAATTTTGATACCCTGGACTCTGGAGCACTCACAAGATTCCGCTTCTATTTTAGTGTAAGTATCTATGTTTTTTGTTTTAATTTATTTACCTATATATTTGTGTCTCAATTATCAACTTGGAATGTGGTTTCTGGAGGAAGAAAATCATCGGATCTTGATTGTACTATGGTGGGGGTAAATAAATTCAATATACCTACTTTTCAAAATAATCAGAAAAAACAAATGATATAATTATATAAAAAGGAAATCTTTACTTAAAAAATGTGTTTTTCAAAAGGGAGAAACTGTAGGGACTTGATTTTACGCTAAATATTTAAAATGGTATTTACTAGACTTGATATTATTAGAAATAGAAATGTTTGTCATTTTTAGATTTGTTTTAATTTATTTCTAATAAAATTGTTGTTTGTGATTAAAAAAAATTGACAGTTTAATTCAAGGTAGGTAAAATAAAGCGGGGCCCGGGATTTTTGTACCTCAGTGGCTCAGCACAGCGAAGAAAACTCAAACGGCAACTTTATTGTTCTACATCCCAGTTTCCTACCAATATAATATTATTATATTAGAACAATATGGTCGCTATTGATAGGTCGTAGGTTTAATTTAAGTTGTTTCAATATAGGTAGGTCACAAGACGGGTACCGAAAATGGAATACAACAAGATTCTTCCTCATAAGTTTTTATTACTGGAAATAAAAAAGTTTAATTTTGTTTTATTGTGATTGAAGTTAAAATGTTGACATTGGATAGGTAGGTACTTACATGCAGTGGCGGCTATCCTCAAATAAATAGGTATTGCTGAGGACCCGCCCACCTACCAACATTTATTAGAAAATACAAATTACCAATATTCATTTATCGGGTAACCATATTTTTGTTAATTTTTGAGCTTTATTATCAAAATATACTTTATCTAATATTTTTTTAGAAACAAATCTTTATTTTTATAAATTAGTTACAAAATAAATAATATTTCTAATTGAAACAAAAATTTTTTAAAGAGAAAATATATATTAATAAATTATTAAGGAATTGAAAACAGTTTTTAAAACAACGTTTATGTTACTTAGATTTTTGAAACAAAGGAGCTTATTTTTACGCCTCAAACTGCGATATACTATTTATTTAAATGGCGATACATTGATAGAAAAAAACATTTTATTCGAACTAAGGTGTTGACGACATAGGTGAAGGCTTTTTAAATAGAAAATTACTTTTTTTTTTGAATTTCGGGGTGGAAGGATTTCTGAGCGAACTTCAAAACCAAACTAAATAGTTTAAGGCACCGTCAAGTAAAGCTACTACGGTTTCCCTGCAGCGTCAAACAGTGGAACAGCACGGCCGCGTCAGACGCCGACCTAGGTCCAGACCGGTAGTGACGATAGACCAGTGGTTTTTAACGGGGGCGCTACCACCCCCTTGGGGGTATTTCGGTCTCTATGTGGGGGCGATAGTTTTGAAGGGGGCGGTGAGCTTTTTCAAACTCGGAGATTAAAAACAATACAATTTATTAATATTATATAACAACACTTCAAATAATTGAACGTGAAATCAGAATAGTTGTAATTGCGTACGATACAACGACATACGGAATGTTATCTAATCGCATTTTACGTATCGGGAACGTCTTGTTTATAAAAAATTTATTTTTACATTTTCAACCATAACTGGACTATTGTATACTGTACCTTGTAAGTTGAAAAAGGATTCAGCGTTATTGTTGTTCAGCTTTTGACGAAACAAAGAAATCGGTTGGACATTTGTAACAAAGGTGATCTACGTTTAGCTTTGACCAATATCGAACCAGACATCGCCACATTAGCAGCTACTCATCAGGCTCAGGGCAGTCATTGATAGGTATAATTTTTTTTTTCATAGTTAAGTAATTTTTTTTGTCTAGTAAAGTAAAATGTTTTTGTTAAGTGGTGAAAAATATAACCTTTATTATCTAAAAATAAGAGTTTTTACTTTAATTAATAATGTTATACTGTAATATACTGATGAATAAATAAATATATATATATATCTTTATTAGAAGAAATTTTGATTTTGAAGGGGGGGCGTTAGCAGTAAGTTATTACGATAAAGGGGGCGCTGAACTAAAAAAGGTTAAGAACCACTGCGATAGACGTTCAGACGCTGCAGGGAAAACGTACCTTATTAATTTAAAAAAAAAAAAAATTTAAAATTAGTTAGTTTTAAATGGGAAAGGGATTGATAACTGTTTTTTAAACAACGTCTATGTTAGGTACTTTAGCTTACGTATTTTATGTTTCTTAACTGAAAAATAATTGCACATTTACGTAATTTTGACGAATCCTTAATAACTTCACTCAATCATAAAAATGTAGGCTCAAACAATTCAAGCTCAACTTTACAACTAAGACCATATTTTCAAATTTCTTATATTTTGTGTACAACCTATAAGGAGTGTCTTGTGGCAATAAAAAACTACTATTTGTCTAATGAGATTAACAGAAGCCCCCATTTTTACTACAAATTATTTAACGGTATTGAAAATGTTAATGTATCTAATATCTAAATCAAAATTCTAATGACTAGTTTCTGAGTTATTAATCAGTGAAATTTTCATGTATCTACAGTTATTTGTTTTTGAATTTCAACAAAATAAGGAAATCGCTATATGAGAAATCGAGTGAATATCCAATGTTGTAAAAATTTGAATTTCAAACGCTCATAAAAATTTAATTTGACTTTCTTATAGACATTTTTTTTTGATAAAGGTTAGGTTAGGCGATAATCTTATATTACATTTTAAAATCTTAGAAATAAAAAAAAAATTTTTAAGAATTCTTAACTCAAAATAATTTGATAATTTTCATGATTTTTCCATATTTTGTCAATTATTGAACTTTAAATGCTTATAAAAAAATGTGTAACTAAGGATTTTTAATATTTTTCTTCTGCCTTTGAAACAATATACTAGGAGCCTTCTATTAAATTTGTAAAAAAACAAGCTTTTTTAACCAACAAATAAAATTTTATTGATATTTGTAGGAAAAAAACTAAAAAAAAAATGGAAATGAAATTGTCAATAAACAGTTCAAAATAAATCAAAATATTTTGAAAAGGTTATCGTGTATAGAAAATGCAAATATAAACAACCAGTGAAAATTTCATGTATCTACGGTTATTTGTTTTAAAGTTACACCAAACCCAAATTCAATTTTGCGTAAAAATTCCCGTTTTTCCTTCATTTTTCTTGGCGCTTTTGAAAATTACTGGGAATTATAAATTTTGACCTCCCCAACGCACCAACGATATTCACTTTCCAATCGAACAAGATACTGAAGTTGAAAATTGAAGCATTATTTCGACTACTTATCGTGTACACACACAAAAAAAAAAAAATCTCACATCATTGTAAAATCAATACCCACATAGCAAAATTCTTCCCGGGACGTCATTAGGACCATCCTAATCATGTCCGCAAGTTATCCTAACAGTATGCTCGAAAAAGACATTCTGAGGATGCTCTTAGTACAGTCTCAAATGACTTACCTCCCATTAGGGTACTGGTAGGATATTGGGTAAATCCTATTTGAATACTTAATGGAATTTGTGAGGATTTAAATCTACATCATAATAAAGGACTCACAGAAGATATAATTATTTTATCATGTACCTACTCAGAAAGACGTATTAATAAGTACCACCAGGCACCATGAAGTATATGAACATTATACCAATCAATATATAGGTACAAACCACTAGTATATTTAATATTATACTGTATTTATTGTATAATGAGTTAACGGGCATCGGGCAGTTTTCCCACGGAGAATGGAGATTTAACTATTGTAGAATCAATGATGAGAAAAACACCATCCAATCAAAAATGTCTTGGCACTTTCAATAAATTAATTTCACCATTACCCAGTACCTCGAGTGATTCAAGTAATATATTTTTAATTTATCCAAGTTATATTTAAGGATTATAAGTAAAATAATTTATGTGATTTGATTAGGATATCAAAACTTGGAACTCAACGATCCACAGCAGCTGTCTTCATTATCACCAAATTTATTTGAAGATATTGATCTCGATATCAATCAGTTACCGTTTGAAATTGAGTCAGGTATTTTAATCATTTTAAATTTTAATTGATAATTTTGAAAAAGCTTGTAATTTATGTTATCATCATTTTATAAGGTACTGAAAACAATGATGACACATCAAATTTAATGTCAGTGGCAGAAGTCAACGATTCCCAAAATAATTTTATTAATGATAATGGTAAATATCCTTAATTACATTTTAATAGTCTGGTATCAAAAACAACTATTTTTTATTTCAGGACCATTTAACAGTCACGAAACACAGATATGGTTAATTAAATCTATCGCTCAACTTAAAAGTGACGTTTCAATCATAAAAAAATCTGTAAATGCTAACAATCAACTTCTAAAACAACTTCTGTTTGACAATCATCCAGAAAATGATTTAGAACTTGATAAATTAATTTTACAGTTCCCTATTGGAAATGAAACTGTTTTATTTGAGATGGAAGAAAAACTGACCACTGACCATATTGCAAATAAATATTTGGTAATTAATATATTGCTTTTATTTATATTTAATTCCCAATAACTATAATAAATGTATATGTATTAATTTCATAGATTAAAAAAATGTCAAAACTAATATCAAGTGACTACAAACAGAGTAGTTTTAGTCTAATGAGATTTTTAATAACCAATGAACTGGCAACAAAAATGACCTTTTTTGGAAAAACATCCAAACTAGCGTTTGGATCATTAAAATTATATGCAATTTTAGAAAGTTGGTTCACATTTGTAATTTAATATTTTCGTTGTCCAATAATATTTTATTTTTAGAAGTCATGTTGAAGAATAATCCTGAACTTACAGTAAAAAAATTGCAAGAGCCAATTCAAAGTTGGTTACGCCATGCAAATGAAAGATTCACCGAACAAAATTGCCATGTAGATAATGTAAGTTAAATAATTATAAAAGTTTGTATGATCATTAATTTTTGTTGAAGTTTCAATTAATATTATTAATCCTTTTTTTAGGAACAAAATTAAAAGCTGTCATGTGTTAATTACTGTGTATGTATGTGATCTAATTTTAAAATTTTTATTTACCATATCTGACTTAATTTAAATTGAATTATTTTTTTTTTTATTTATGAATTTTTTTGTATACTTTTCTACTAATCATGTGACTATTATTTTATTTTATAGCTATTACTATCATACCAACATTTTTAATTAAATATTTTTTTTTGTCTTCAATAACCATAATACCCAAAAAGATTTTTTTTTTTTTGGTTTTTTTTTATACATTAATTATGTAACTGTTCATTTATACTGAATGATTATTATTTTTTTAATTTATGGATTCCTCATAACTACAATTTATTTTAATATTTGTTACCCTGTGGCAATATATACTTTGACTATGTGATAATTGTAAGACTGTTGTATAATACTTTTATACTAATCTGTTATTATCTAATGACTGTTATTTTATTTTATAAACACTTAAAATTAGATATTTTATTTTGATTATATTGAGTTGTATGTATGTACTAATATATTTGATATTACATGTAAAATAAAAAATGTAATTAATTCTTAATTTTATATGTTAAGTGTATTCCCAGTTCATCAGGGTAAGATCTCCTCACTTCATTCTGATGGAGTGTTCTCAGTTCATCCTTGTAGGATATCCTCACTTCATTCTGATAGGGGGTTCTCAGTTCATCCTTGTAAGATGTCCTCACTTCATTCTGATAGGATCCTCTTAGTTCATCCGTGTGAGACGTCCAGAGGATAAATAAAAAAAGGACATCTGGACATTCTATGGGTATCCTCTGATCGTCCTGAGGATAGTCCTGACCATCCTGCTAGGACCATTTAAGTACATACTGTGGACATACATTTGCTATGTGGGTACATTCATCGTTTCACTCAGAATCTAAAATTAAAGTTTTTATTGTTACAGGGTCGTTCTTAAGTGGTAGGTATAAAAAAATCTTAAGGATTCGAAAATATGGTAGTGCATTTAAAAATTCCAAAATGCAGATTCAGAATTTGAATTAATGTATACAAATAGGGTGATCATGCTTAAAAAATCACTCTGTATATTTGAAGGATGTTTAAAATAAATGTAAAAAAATCACTCATAGAAACTTGAAACATTTAACTTACTTAAATCTATATAACATATGTTATTTATTTTAGACAACATTTAGTTCAACCTATTGTATTAGTAATAGCTACCTATATGTACGTAAATGTATTATAAAATATCCATAGAATAAAATAGGCTAAAATCTACAAATGATGAAATAATACGAACACTAATTAATAAAACTTTTTTTTACGTTTATAGAGGAATACAACTATTTAATTATGTATTAATATTAATGATCTACCTAAATAAATTATATCAATTGATAATAATTTAAAATTCAAAATCTAGATAAAGGAAAGGTACAAACGACTATTTTACTAGCTAATGATATACTTATTCATTATTAAGAATCATTGTTTATTATTCAATTTCGATTTATCTAAATATGTAACCTGTATGGAATTTCATAATATAAAATATTAAAATATGTGTTTAATTATCAATGTGCATTGTAAATTTATATCCAATAACAATTTGTTTTTGAATATATTTAACTATATTATTACAATTTTTTTTCTTATTGAACTTAAGCCCGGCAACTATGGCCATTAGCTTTTTATTATTATTATTATTATTAGTATTATATTGTCTTTTCATATAGGTAAACCGCATAATCTAAGCTGTTTTATTTATAAAATATTGTAACTGATACTCCCTACTCCCATACAAACATTGCTTAGAAGGTATTAATATACTCAAATACTTTATTTATATTGTATGTTTTGATGATTAAAAAAATATTTAAATAGAAAATTGCGGACAGCACAAAAAAAGAGTTGAACATTAATGTAATTAAAAATGACATGGTTTAGTAAAAAAGATTTGATTCTATATTTAACTTTATATTTTTATATTAATCACTAATTTGAAGCAAATATTAAGTTTTTACTCGAGAGTTGGATATGTCCGGAAAGACTAATAAAAACCAAATACAAATGCTACAAATCACAATCTCTAGTAAGTAGTAATACTATGCAAATACAACACATATTTTATGTATAGTATATTTATTTCAAATACATTCTTATTTTACAGGAAACCATTTTCTTATTTTCAATTAATTAAATTATTGTTTGTATAAATAATAAGATAAAAAATGTTTGTTCGGTATTTCTTTTATCATGTTTTAACATTTTATTTTGTAAATTATTTTAATTAAACAAATAAATGAACATAAAAACTAGTTACTTATTCTTTATACACAAAACAACAATATAATAAAAATAAGAAGATCCAATGTTCAAAATAAAACAAAAATGAATAAACAACTAAATGTTCATATTATTGAATCAATGGTTACAAGTTTAAATGATAAAAAAAATGTAGAAAAAATAATAATATTTGAATTATAGTTTAGAACCGAATCTCATACAGATTTATCATTGATACTTGAATGTGTCATTGAAAGATCTTGAAGTTTGAATGATACATCTAGATAAAGGGATTTAAATTATAATTTAAACATAAGAAAGTTAATTTGATTAATATGTCAAATTACCATTGCATTCATCCTCTGAACAGCTTTCATCCGGAGTAAAACGACATTCATTATTCAGATATGATTTGAGTTTGCCACTTGAAGCTAACATTAAACCTAAAAATGGGGGTGATGGTTTTAAAGGCCTGGTTAAATATTCCGGATGGAATTGTGTAGCCACATAATATGGATGATCATCAAGTTCACATATTTCCATTCTAACTTTTTCTGTATCTGTTCCAACAAATTTTAAACCAGCTTTTTCTAGACGTTCTACATAATCATTGTTTACTTCATAACGATGACGATGTCTTTCTTCAATTGTTTCAAATCCACCATAGAGTTTATCTAAAATTATTAACATTTATTCAGAAATGTAAATATTTATACAATTATTATTAAATAAGTATATAACCCTTGAGTACTACTTACGTATAATAGATGAATTATCTTTTTTAAAGACCGTTGTTCTTTTACCGAGCCTCATTGTACCACCTTTATTTTCGGGACAATGTTCAGGCATTTCGATTATTAATGGATTTTTGGCATTAGAATTTATTTCAGTAGTATCAGCATTTTCCAAATGTAATACATTTCTATGAACATTTAAGTATTTTGTTGTTATTTAATAAAATATTTATTATAACACACTTTATAGATGTTTGATAATTTAAAAATTATACTTTAAAAAGTACCTGGCAAATTCAATAACAGCAACTTGCAAACCAAGACAAATTCCCAAAAATGGTTTACGATTTTCTCGACACCATTTACATGCCTCTATTTTACCTTCAACACCTCTAGTACCAAATCCTCCAGGTACAATTACACCACTATTAATGATAAATAAAATAATATATAAACAATTTGTTAAACATGTATAAATAATGTGTAAATAATTAACTTACTCACTACGGCATAACTTTTGCCATGCTTCATGGTAATCAACTGGATTTGATAATTTAGTTTCATTTTCAAGATTTGCAGCTTCAACATACTATAAACAAAATAAAAAGTTAAATATTGTTTGAAATAGGATATTAGATTATAATAAGTTATTACTGTAATAGCCACTTTATGGTTGATATGAGCAGCAGCATGAATCAAAGATCTAGAAACTGATGCATATGCATCAGTAAGTTGTGTGTATTTACCAACTAGAGCTATTTTTATAATTTTTTGAGAACTGTCAATTCTGAAAATAATTAGACATAAAAAATATTTAAATTTTGAGTATACTTTTTTTTTATGACGGTCATTTATTTATTGCCCATCTATCAAAGCCCCTCACTCAAACATATGTAAATTATGAAAAATAAACTATAAATATTAAATATTATAAAGATTTTGATTTTACGATACTTAAAGACATTTATTTATGATTTTAGTATTTAACACATATTATAAAACTTATAAATCATTAATGTTAATAATACAAAAGTTGGTTTTATGTTTAATAAAATAATTACAAAAGTAAGTTTCTAAAATTCTAGGTAAGTACTTACTTTAAATTATATATTTAAAATCACACAAATGAAAAAAAAAACTTTTTTATCAATTTATATTTCTTTTACTTGTGTTTTTAATTTGATCGATTATAGAACTTCTATCAAATTATTTCCAAAATAAATAGCAATACTTTTGTTTTTAGTTTCAGGATATAATTTATTTTTATTTATTACAATAAGAAAAATTAGAATTGTTAAATATTTTTAATTTGAAAATATTACTGTGAATGTAGTAATAATTTAAAGAATTATACTTGTCCGATAGTTTTTTCCACTGTTTCATATAAATCCGATTATAGGCCACATTTATAGGGAAATTTAAACGATCTTGTAAAAATTCTAAAGCACCTTGATTTTCCATAAATAAAGGAACTTTATATATTGAATCCAAATCGTGCATAAACAATACCTAAAAAAAAAAAAAATACTATTGTAAGAATAAAAATGAATACTAATCAAATAGGTTAAACATACTTGTCTTGAAGCTACATCACAGAAAGTTGATATTTTTCTTTTAACTTGTTCAACATTAGAACATGGTTTTGTACTCCTACAAATAACAAGATCGGGTGTTAAACCTAAACCTCTTAATTCACGAACACTGGATTGAGTTGGTTTTGTTTTATCATCTCCAGTCGCACCAGGCTAAAGGAAAAAATGTATTATAAAAGTGAAAAATATATCCTATTGTAATATGTATAACTATAAATGTATATATGTATAACTATAAATGTATATATGTATAACTATAAATAATATAAAAAATTATGTATGTACCTGTAGAATAAATGAAACATGAGCACACACAAAATTTTCCTTTTTTACTTTAAATTGAAACTGTCTAAAAGCTTCAACAAATGGCATACTTTCTATATCACCAATTGTACCACCAAGTTCAACAACACAAACCTAATAACATAATTATTATTAAGTAGGTACTCATAGTTTAATATGATAAGTATATTCAGTGAAGTGTTTGGTATTAATAAATTGGTCTCAGTAGTCAGTTTAAGTAACATAAGGGGCGGTTACTGGTATTGTTATTTTATTTTTTGTACTGGAAAAAGTTTGTTAAAAATTACCAATTAACTATTGAAAAATATTCTTATATGGTTAAACCCACTTGCTACAATGTATTCTTAGTACTTAATCTTCTATGTATGAGAATAAATATACATTTACAATTATTTTAGATGAAGTATTGATAGTTTATACACAAATAATTATTATTTATTTAGCAAATATGCAATAAGCAAAACACCACTAGAAATATATTGAATATTATAAATAATCTTACATCAGGTTCTACTTTATCATCGCTCACTGGTTGTTTGGCTACACGTTCAACCCATTCTTGTATCGCATCTGTGATATGGGGTATAACTGAAAATTATAATCATAATAAATTTAAATTTGTAAAAATTATATTAATTAATTAATATCTTAATTGAAAAGAATTATTGAGCTGTAAAATGAGTTATAAAATAAAACTGTTTTCAAAATCAGAAGTAGATAAAAATGTTGAATCAACTTTAAAGATGGTTGTCAAGATAAAGCATTCATTGTAATACCGATAAAGCAAATATAAATCACTTTAAAAGAATGTATAGTTAAGAAAATATTTTAACATGTTAGTTTAATTGTTTAAAAATATGTATATTCAATTAGACATTAGTTGTTAATTATATTAAAAAAAATAGTAAATCAATATTGTATATTTTATTTTTAGAAACCATATAAGTAGTCTTAAAAATATATACAGTGTGTATATGATATGGTTTATGATTATAAATACAATTTCCCCAAGTCAATACTTAAAACATATATAGAAGTATTTATTAGTTAGAAATAAAGATATTTTAATATAATGTTTTTAAAATCATATTTATAATAAATATTAACTATTTTTCTTTGTAAATTCTTGATCACCAACTATAACATATTTAGCATAAAATAAACCGCTCTTAAACATGCCGCCAAACACCATCGGACTACTTAGTCATTCTATCATATTTCACAATGATTGGTGACCATATGACTTTCTAATTTTGGGGTGAAAGCTGTTTAAAGGTGAGGAATACACAGATATGACCAATTTTTGTCAGCTCAGTGGTTCACTTTTAACCTAAGTAATTATATTATACTCCATTACCCATCTGTAGAGTAAACATATATAACTTGTTTGATGGAGATTATTAATACAAGTTAAAAGTATTTATATAAACTAGTCCTATAAATTGATTATTTCAGGTTTTTTAGTAGCTTGATAATTACTTTAGTTTAGGTTAAACAAAAAATCTTGAATAAAAAAATATATCCAGATTCTGCCCATTATATTTTATAGTGTATTATATTATATTACGAGTGAAAACTGTCTTTCCACACTACCTACACATCCTATTTTATACTACACAGCTGTATAATGAACTGTACATTACATTTTCGGTGTCTAGATTCAAATTGTTTCAAAAAAACAGTACAGCCAGTACAGGTGTAACCCCACCTACCAGCTAGTATTTGATATATTAGACAAAAACTATCAATACATTGATTTACATTAATCTGATTTGAACAATAACTTTTTTGTCTGTGTTTTTTTTATGTATTTACAGTCCGCTGGATGGACAAAGGTAATTTTCCTACGGTTCAACCGGCATTTAAAATTTAACTGATGTAGGCATGACAAGAAATATTTTACCATTCTACATTTAATTATTTTAGTGAGTAGTACCAATTTTGTAAAAATTAAAAAAAATCTTCAGTATTAAACCATTTAGAAATCAAAGATACCTTGTACAGTTTTTCCCAAGTAATCGCCACGTCTCTCCCGATTGATAACTTCTTGGTATATTTTGCCAGTCGTAATGTTGTTCTGGCTATGCAAAGTGACATCAAGAAATCGTTCATAGTTGCCCAAATCTAAATCAACTTCACCACCATCATCCAACACATACACTTCACCTAGAAAGACAAATTATCACCTGTTTAAATTCATGCAAGCACACAAAGTAGACAATTATTTATACACAATTTCAAATGTTTTCTAGTAAGTATTCTAAAATAGTGCCGAATTAGATAGCAATTATAGTCTCAATCTAAGGAATCTAAGTAGGTATACCCATACAATTTATTTAGCACACTATTTTTAAAATTCCAATTATACATTGTATACCTAGGTAGAGATGGTTTATAATTCCACAATTATTCTACAGCCAAATTTGTACAATTTATCTATTTACATTAGTATAATAGTACCTAATCCTCGGAGAAAAAGAATGCCAATAATAAAAATGTGTATAATTACATATTTTGGAATTTGATTTCCTCGCTTAATTTGTAACTAACCAATTCAAAAAACCTAAAACTCTTAATTCTTAAAGCTTGAAAAAGACATTAGCCATGAGGTGAAATGTCTGAATGTTACGAAGGCAAGTGCTGAGGTAATAATTTGATGTACCTAATTTGAATAAGAAAAAATTGTAGCACAGTCAAACAAGTTTTAAAAAAAGTATTAGCAGGTAAAGCTTGTATCAAAACAATAAGTATTCAAAAGACATTCATGTCAGTATTCATAGCCAATTTATGTGGCACATAAGTCGACTATGCGTACAGACATGAGTGTTTTTCGGGCAAATTTCGAAGGTTCTGGATGATCATTGTTCAAGAGAAACCGATTTCTGATCGTTACACGTACACACCGTGTTCGTAAGGTGAGAATGTCCCGGCGTCAATGTTCAGATACGGATCGATCTTAATGGACGTCACGTGGACGCCGCAGGACTTCAGAAGCGTGCCGATGGACGAGGCGATGATGCCTTTGCCCACGCCACTCATGACACCGCCGGTGACCAAAATGTATTTCATAGTTTATTATTCTTCCGGTCAAAAGGAATCGAGAAACGCCGAGGACGACCGTAGTAAATGTACTATGTAGTATATGTCACAGACGCACGAACCAACACACTGAACGACCGAACGGCAAGGCGATCCGGTTGCAAAGTAGAATGTAGATAATATCTATATTATACAACTACACTAACGGGTATTATAATTATTTTGATATAATAAAAATTGATCGTGCGTCCTCGTAGTCACCACGATGACGACAATAGATTATAATTGGCAATTGTTAATTGAGAATAGTATCGTAGAATGCAGACTGCACAAATGCACAACATGCATGCGACGGCGTCAGTGGTTATGAGTTATGACAGGGGATGACGCTGCGACGCAAAACCGCGACGTCTCACCGTTTAGTACCCAACGAGGACGTCTACAAAGTGCAAGTTACAACAGTTAATTAGATAATAGACCACGCCACGACGGATTACGGATTACGGAATGCAAAATCGACATTTGTCAGCACGATTATGGTATTGTAATAATTTTTATTATTGTACTATTGTAGTCTGTAGACTGTAGTATTTAGGCGAGGGTCGACAACGTTTGTACTTTGTTTGGCGTGCGAAAAGCGCGGAAAAACTTAAGCACACATTTTTAGGTTATTGCTTTTTATCATATTTTATCACGGTTATAATGTTAAATCGTAGTGGTAACATCACAGACTACCTGGTTACATAATTATTTAAGATAATATTGTTGTTTTGCTGATAACAGTTTTTAAATTCTCTGGTATTTTTTTAAAAAATAAAATAGATTTTGTGCTTATAATTAATATACCTGTTTAGCCTACCTTTCTATCTTTGATTTTATTTATTTCGTGATGTGTGAGCTGCCAAGTCAGTGTTTTGTCTCGTGACAATGTTATGATTTATGGCGTAATGTCGTACGATTTTTTTTCCTACAGGTTCGTAGTCTTCCTACTTCAAATTGGCTCACCGAAATTATCTTTGCCACGAAGCCACGAAGGTCAAGGACGAACGTGTTAAAATGATAAGAAGACTGATCAGCTTATTGATATAATATTCAAACATTTTTTTTTCAGTTTCTCCGCTACTATAGTCTATAATACCTATCTGTTTTAGTTTCACTTGACATCTTCCCGTTGACTGGTAAAGTTTTTCTTTCGTAACGAACCAATTCAGTTATATACCGAACATGTCGTCCAAACAAAAAGTTTGCATTTTAGGATCCGGAAATTGGTATGTACCATTTGATTATTTACATTGAATGGATCAAAAAATTATCTATTGATGAACCGAAAAATGTCTAGGTTTATCCATGCTAACAATTTATGAAAAATGAATACTCAGTCTCAGCACTCATTGGTACTCACAGTTTACATTATTATAATTTCGTCATATTTCTATTATCATAGACATAATATTATGTCTATGTCTATTATAATATAGTGTATTGTTTTTTGAACTTTGATAGCTAATGTTCTTGATTTTGATAAAACCAATTATTTTAATATGCCAATGTTTTTAAACCTTTTATTAAATAATGTTCAACCTACACAATAACGCGTGTACACTGTACATCATTGAAACTTTCTTAAAAGGTCATCATAAATTCTTGAAAATTGTTAATAATATACTAAATTATTAGTAATATACTAATATTATGTTCAGCATAAAAGTATGTGAAATAAATAATAATCTTATTTTAATAAGTAAATATGTGAATTACAATATAAAAACGGATTTAAAATTTTTAGTGATTTTTTTTAAGAAAATTGTTAAAATATACTGCTTATGGAAAGGTTTTGGAAATTAATATTTGTCAATATTATCTTAAATTATTAATTTATCCCTACTTAATATTATTTAAAATATTTTGAGTAAATATCCATTTATCTCTAGTACCAATACCTAATATACATTTGAAATAAAATGATTTTACAAATACCTACCTACCTATTTAATATTTTTAATAAATCTAAACAAATAAAATTGTGGTACTATCCTATGTTAATATTCATTTAAGTTAAGAGAAAAATCCAGATAGTTAGGAAACTGTTCTGTTCTATTATATCTGTTCTATTATAGTAGATGTCAAATGTACTTCTTCACTGAGTAGATCATATTATATTTTGTGGAAATACACGGTATTTTTGATTAAATTAAAATAAAATTTAAAATTTAAAACCTAAAATATATCATTGTACAATTTGTTTAATAACTGTTTTATAATTTGTCATTTATATAATGTATAGGGGTTCAGCAATCGCAAAAATAATTGGTTCAAATGCAGCCCGCTTGGATTCATTTGATTCCTGTGTCAACATGTGGGTTTATGAAGAAATTATTGAAGGAAAAAAATTGACAGAAATAATTAACACCACTCATGAAAATGTGAAGTATTTACCTGGAAAGAAACTCCCTGAGAATGTTGTAAGTTTTTGTTAAATCAATCATTATTATTTTATAAAAAAATAATACTGGACTCTCCCCAAAAATAACATTAGGATATAGGTATTCAATAAAAATTATGTATAAGCTATTGTGTACTTCTATTAACCTCTATGGTTAATCATATATAAAATAGAATAATAAGATCTAAAGTGGGATTATGCAGATAACAAAAAAAATATTGAATTGATTAACTTGCACTTTTAAACAAACTTAAATTAAATTAAAATAGGTATGATTCATTTCATTCTATTCCTACATTTAATATCTATTTTTAATATAAATACTTATATATGTTATGTACCTATAGGCAAAACTGTAATAGGTATTTGTTAGAATTAATGTAGGTAATTAAATTTACACAAATAGTGTAGAATTAATTATTATGTATTTTTTTAACAGTAGGTATGTAAATATATGACAATGACAAGGATAAGGGCATTTAGTTATCTTCAATGTCATTTAATTTTTAACTCTCATATTTATTTGACTTACTGCCAATGGCTTGGCAATATAAAATTTACTATTTATCATTTAGTGTATGTAGTTATTGTAAAAAATAAATTATAATTAACTTTTAAAATTAATTATACATTTGATCCCACCAAATATTTCAATTCAAAATAAGTCTAGTTATATAATTTTTTTTACTCAATAGGTAGTTATTAAAATATATATATAAAATCAATATACATATATTTACCAGGTGCTGCAATGGCGTCTTCCCCTCTCCTATTTTTGTTTTCGTTCTATCTCATTTACTTATTGTATTACTATAAATGCACATAGTAAATAAATCTTCATTTGTGATAAAAAATAATAAATAATAAAATAAAATAGGTATATTTAATTTTTATTTACTACATTATTAAATTGAAATTTTAACTGAAGTCTTACATTTAATTTTGTTATCATCAAAAGTAAAATTATATTTTACTATAATATAATATACAACATGTTTAATTGATATATACTATAGAAACTTGTTGAATTAAGTATTCAATCAACTTCATTAAATTTAATAGTTACTGACAAATAGTATTTAACTTGTTAAGAATATTATTGTACTTCAAATTTAATTAGGCTATTATATATCTCTACCAACACATTACTTTATTTAAAATTGTTAAAAATTGTAATAAGTTAAAAACAATTTTAGGTTGCTGTACCTGATGCAGCCGAAGCAGCCAAAGATGCCGATATTTTAGTATTTGTTGTTCCTCATCAATTCATACCAAAATTATGTTCTAGCCTTGAAGGATTCATAAAACCTTCTGCTACAGCACTTTCTTTAATTAAAGTATTTACTTACAATATGCAAAACTTGTTATTTATAATTTTTTTATGTTATTTGTATATTTTAAAGGGATTTGATGTCGCAGAAGGGGGTGGAATAGCTCTGATTTCACAAATTATCAAAAAACATTTAAATATTGAAGTCTCTGTACTAATGGGTGCTAATTTGGCCAATGAAATTGCTGATGAAAAATTTAGTGAAACCACTATTGGTAAATTACTTTTATATAAATTGTTTGATTTATATTAACAAATATTTTTATTTAGGATGTAAAGATAAGCAAATTGGACAAATTCTTAAAGATGTAATCCAGACTGACTATTTCCGTGTTTCTGTTGTTGATGATGTTGAAGCTGTTGAAGCTTGTGGAGCACTTAAAGTATTAAACTTAAGTTCATTGAATAAATATTTTTTTTTATTATAATATATACCTACGTTAATGTTTTTATTTGTGTATTTAGAATATTGTGGCTGTCGGAGCTGGTTTTGTTGATGGTTTGAAATTAGGAGACAACACTAAAGCAGCCATAATACGAATAGGTCTTATGGAAATGATTAAATTTGTTGAAAAATTTTACTCTCATGCTCGACTTAGTACATTCCTAGAATCATGCGGTGTTGCCGATTTAATCACTACATGCTATGGTGGTCGTAATAGGAAAGTATCTGAAGCTTATGTAACATCAGGAAAGGTAAATAAAACCTATATAATTTATTTTCTATAGCAATTTAAACTAGTTTAAATAAGATATTTTCAAATTTTATTTTGTTTAGAAGATATTTTGAGCTAAAATTGTTTCCTGTTTACACACTATTCCAGTAAACATTTTTCTTACAAAATCTGGTTATTTAAAAATAGTTAGAGATAGAGATTAGGATTTTAATTTATTTTCATTCTGGATTAATTTTCGTGTACTGTTTGGTTAAAAATGTATAATCCTGATTATATTTATTACATGATTATTTTATCATAATCGTCTGCCATAAGATGGTCAAATACTGTGTTTATTGTATAGTGAATTTGACCACTATGGCTGTTTATTAAATATTCAAATATAATTATTAAATATTTGTATTGACTGACTGTTATTGTTGATGATAGTGGTTATTTTATTTATAACAAAAGAATTTAAATGGTTTTTATTATAAGTTTGAAGTTCATAAGAAAATAAATAATAATTAATTGGTTATCCATCATAATGAACCAATGTAATAAAAAATATCAATTTAATTATAGTTATTATCTGTTTGTGAAATGTAAATGTTATTCCAATAACATTTAATTAAATATTTATGAATTTGGAAAAAAAATGTATTGTTGACAATAGTTGTTATTTTGTTTACATCAAAAGAATTTAAATGGTTTTCATTCGTAGTTTGAAGTTCATAAGAAAACAAATAGTAATTAATTGGTTATTCATCTCTTCACAATGAACCAATGTAATAAAAAAAAATGACATTATATTAACAATATAATTATATTTCAATATCAGTATGCAGCTACATATTATGTTGTCTTCGTCTTATACACATTTAATAGTTTACATATTCATAACTCACTTATTAATTAATATATCATAAAAAATCAATGGGGGAACACATATAATGTTCTTATGTAAAAGTTTGATAATAGGTCAATTCCTTCTAATATCAAAACTGGCAAATATCAATTTGCTGTCGTACCTGTATAAGACGGAACAACTATGTGGGTACAATGAACTATTTATGAATTTGGAATACAATTTATATTTAATGTAAACAGTAAATACATGGACAAAATTAATAGGACAATAATATATTGAATAAAATGTCTAGTGACTTTTAAATATTCAGTCACGCTTAAATTAAGTATAATTGATTTTTCTGTATTTTCTGTTTATTGTTTATTAGTCAATCGAAGAACTAGAAAAAGAATTGTTAAATGGACAAAAACTTCAAGGACCAATCACAGCGGCTGAAGTAAATTTTATGCTCAAAAATAAAGATATGGAAAATGAGTAAGATTCAACATTATATTTATAAAAAAATAATGCATACCTTAAATAATTTTTTTAATTTATTTCAGTTTCCCATTGTTTACAACTGTCCATAAGATTTGTATTGGAGAATTAAAGCCTAGTGATTTAATTGAACAAATGAAATTAAATACCAACATGTAAGTTGTATATATATATATATATATAGAGAGAGATAGTCATATATTATAGCCACCGATCTATTAACATTTATACATTAATAAACTATAGTGGTGTATTTAGGATTTTTAAAGAAAAAAGTGTAATTTTGTTTAAAAACTATAAAAATTGTGTATATAAACATGGCTCACAAGGAACCATACCTATAAATACACCACTGGTTAAATAAGTGTATGTTATTTAATTGTTATCAAATATAATCATAAGCTTGGTTTAAAAGTAAAATTTATTTTTATTAGTAAATAATATTGTTTTTGTTCAGCTCAATGCATTTAATTTCATTAACAATAGGAAAAATTATTTTCATTGTAATTCTTGTTTAACTGTTTATTTTATAATTTAATATTTGAATAGATGTTTTTATTTAATTGCATATTATCAGATTCAATTGAACTGTGGAGCCTGGGTTTTAACTATTTTTTTTAAATTGTAATTTCTTCAACTTTTAATCATAGATTTGTATGCATTTGTAAAATTATAGTTTCAAGTAATCTATTTTTATTTGTACTGCCTTTAATATGTATGTTGTATGCGTTATGATATATATTTGTTTATTGATGTGCATTAATTATTAATGATTTTTGTTATTGTTTTTGCTTAATTATTTTTAATCTTAACAGTATGTTGTTTTCTTTTAAATATTAGTTATGTTTCATGCATGCCAATCACTAGTTTAAAATAACAGAAGTATTTATATAATATTTACAGGTCTGACAAATTAAATCTGGACAAATGTAACCTGTAGGAATGATTCTTATTATTTTTAATTCAAATACAAATCTAAGTTTGTTTAATATATTTGTATTGTTTTATTTTATTTTTAGAAAAACTGAACAAACTGGTGGAGAATAAATGAAATAGTTATTCCAACATTGTTAGGTTGTCATACAGTATGACTTTATTTCTGCAAGAGTTAGATACTATGTTTATACAATTAATGCTCACAATGCACATCTATGTCAGTACATCCCATATCGTTCTTGTTAAAGTTATATAATTTAGAAATATTTATTTGTGTCACATGTGTCATTTTTAAATGTTAACAGTTTTTTTTTGCACTACCTCAAACAAAAATGCACCAATTTCAAATGTTACCAAATTGTATTGTATTAAGGCAATCAAAATATAAATATATGCATAGAATTAATTAGTTAAATAAATAAATGTATATTAAAGTAACGAAACAATTATCAACCCAGAGGTCACTATTATGACTAGTAACAATATTTCTTTAAAACTGCTTGGATCATCTGCATAGCGATTTTTTGTGGTTAATCTTCGATTTTTAATTTCCAATAATGGTATAATAATATTCAATATATCTGGTATCATCAAAAAGAGATCTCTTATCACCTAAAAATAAAAGAATTTTAAGTAACTTAAAATTAATATGAAGAGCTTAAAAACTTGGTATACAAACATTTAGTACATTTACTATATCTGACTTACAGATGATTAAAATCAAGTTAACATACTATATTGATGATTCATTTTTAGTATGAAATTCTTTCAAATGAAATTAAATCTTTCATTTGAAATGCACCTGAACTCTGAAATGTTTAAAAAGTTATGACTGTTCAAAATATCAACAAAACATTATATTAACTTGATTTTTCAATTTTCAGATAATAAAAATATACAAAACTAGAAATATATAATAAAAGTTTATTAAATTAATTTTTAATTTTAAGTTTTCGAAAAATAAAACTAGTGTGATAAGATTGACTATTCAATTCATGACACACTGTAGGTATACATGACGTATACTTATAATATGTATTAAATATGGTATTTTCTCAGTATGAACTTGTATTATTATAATATTTGATTAATTGAGTGGGTGATTACAGTTAAGCTATATCAGTTTCACATCCGATGAGGTCATTTACTTGATACCAATAGTAAATACATAGTATAAGTAGACACATTAACTTGTACCACAGATTAGATTAAAATATATAATATAGTTTTTCTAGGCCAACAATACTATTTATTTGTAGAATATCTTACTTGATGTGCGAATCCACTTCCTCCAATTACATTAATAACAAACTGATCAAAGCCAGCAGCTAACATATGTGTTAATCCCACAGCTATGATAGAAAACAAATGGACTTTCTTTATTTCTTTCCTGCGATCACATATTGTGTACAGAATGCTTGTAGAATACAGTTCAGTAACAGTGAAGAATATCTGATGATTCCATTGTGAATAGAAATCGTCGTTCCAATAGTTGACAAATGACCACCTTGAAAATATTGCAATGTCATAGCTTAGCAGCTAGTAAATAGAAGGCTTACACTGTGTATAACTAACCACGAGTAATAGTGAGAGAACATTGACAGAATAAACAACAACATCATGTTGTAGCGTATCTGCTTGTCAAAGCATAGTCTGACAATGTTTTTCACACATTCGTACAACACAATCGTGCAAACTGCTGTAATCACCCAAATTTTAAATGTGTTGTCTGTAGCGTTGAAGTACATATGCTTATATCTAGCAACACCCGCTTCATAAGGACCTAAAACAAATAATTCATTTCTCTGAAGACAAATACGATTTGGTTTTTAACCACACATACAAATGTGCGTAGAGCTACGCGTACCTTTGAACACCGTGTCCCAACAGGAACACGTACAGTGCTCCTTGTTGACGTTCACATTGAAATCGCTCCAGAATTTTTCCAAAATCAGTATGTGGATTGCCGGTAAAAAGACGGGTACGAGGAGTGCTATGTATTGTGATTTTTTCGATGCAACATTCGTTGGGGCGGTCAAAATCATTTTTGTTTAGAAAAAAGAGACAACTACTACCTATCTACCCAGTACCTACCAACGGCTGTTACATACTGCTTAATGCAAACAGAGATTTTGGTCTCAAATGTTCTGAGTGTTGTATTTTCGTGTAACATTTACACTCGTTGGCGATGTACACACTACAGTACTACACGCATTATTCAGCTTTAGTCAATACGCATATTATCGAATTTTGGAGTCCACCTATATAAAATTCAATAATATTATTCTTGTTTATAGTATAAATCTGTTTGATAAGCATTATCACATTTCGTCACATCAAGATAGATAGTAAATAAAACCAAAAGGGTAAATCTTTAATCGTGGTTCAAAATAAGAACAGTAGTCGGTGGCCAAATTCTGTGCATGGGCGTGGCTTTGTTCCATGGCACTATGGCAGCGCCCGACGCGTCGCCGTAGTGGGGACGGCGTCTGCCGTCTGATCATATTATTATGTCTAACCTCCGCCCGACGAAAACTCGTCGCCGCCGACTACTGTTCTTATTTTGAACAGACTATATTAGACTCATTGACCTATTGGCTATTATAAATAGGTCAATGATTGGATTCGTCATGGACTATGAAGTATAGAGGCAGCTTTTTAAACAATAACTTAAAAAGGTAACTCTGGGTAACAACTAAGTACTAACAATAGACATTAAAACAGCGGCAACAAACAAAGTAACATAAAAGGTCAAGTTTAGTGTTTATCTTTTAACGCATAATACATATTTTTAATTAATGCGGAAAGAAAATCATTATTTTCGAGGCCGCTCCAAGTTACCCAAGTCACCATGTACCAAGTATGAATTTAGTCTTGTTTAATGTCGTATGAGGAATAAATGAGTAAAAAAACATTTCCCTGTGACATTTTACATATAAATATACTTTCACATAATATAATAATTACACTTTTTGTTTAAAGTATTGATGTTTTTACCTATATAAAATAAGTACTTCCAAAAATTCAAAAAAATGTTTAATATACATCTATATTTTTGATCATTATGTAAAATACAGTTTAGATAGGTTTTGAGATCTATACATGATGATCCCATGCAATTAATTTTCTTATCATTTAACTCAAACAGTATTAACATGCTGCTATATAAATTATTATGGTGGTTCGAACTCTGAAGTCCACACTAATCATTTTATACACTAACTGAAATAGACCAATATAAAGATTATTTTATAATATTCCCATGTACACTTCATAAACACCTATATAAATTAATTGGACCCCGACTTTCTGGGAACATAGGATTATAGGCTATAGAATATTATACACTGTATAAATAACATGCTAATTGAGTTACAATTAAGATAATACGAATATACAATTTAAAAATGAATGGACTAAATAGTAAATACAAATGTGGTGTTCATTTTATATAACTTATAATTTTAGTAATCAGAAAATGTAGTATGAGGTTGTAAGGTAAATACTAAATAGTTTGAAAATGTCAAAAGGTTTCCCTTAAAAATGGAACAAACAACATCACTAGTCTCAATGATACTGCATTTTGAGAATTTTAATAATATTTTTCATTAAAATTAAAGCAATTTATAAGTATATTTTATAGATTAGCATTTAGAAAATGTTGTTTAGAAAAAAGCATACTATATACTTATTTAAAATCCCCAAACACTTTACTTGAAACATCCCTCTACTTTTGGTATAAAACAAAATAAAATAGATACATAATTAACTATTTAGGTAATCATTTTAAATAATAATAAATTATTGTAATAACGTATATTGTATATTTTCAATAAAAATTATTTCAGTAATCAATTGACTTTGAAATAAATCATAAATAATATTTATAAATATGTAATTTAATAGTTATACAAATAAAATAAATAATATACTTGTGTACAAAGTGCAATAAATATTTTAACTATAATTTGTAGTATATTTTTAAATGAATACATAGAAATATTCAATACTAATGTGCAATTAATATAAATAAAAGTAAAGAAACATTCAACAGGTCTATTAACTATTTAACCAATTTATATGATCGGATACTGGCATATCGCTATATTATCTATCATTAATTAGTTTAATTTATAATTTATACATTAAATATTATAATTAGTCTTATACATAATCTTAAAGAACACTCATTAAAATAAATAATATTAACAAGTGTCAAAACTATAAAATTTATCTTGATTAAATAGTAAATACATTTATAATTCAATTTAATTTTAATTTTAAATATTTAAACTTATTTTGTTTATATAGCTCTTTAATGAACATTATCATTTATTATATTATTATATATTTTTTTAATAATAATATTAATTTCATATTGAAAGCTTATTAATATTGTGTAAAAATAAAATGTAAATATATCCTTTATTTACAGCCTTCGACATAATTTCCTGGGAATAAGCCTGTAATGCCGTCCATTACACCTTCCCACCAACCATCATCATTTTTCTTTAAGACATAAATAACTGAATTTTCTTGGAAACTTAATTCGTCGTCTTTATCAGCATAATAATCATAAATTGCAATTACTAAAATATAAATAATTTATTATAATTTAATATAATTTATATTATTAAGAAATTTTAAACTTACCCTTTTCCAAATAATTCTTAGGAACCCATCCTGGAAGATCAGGTTCTTGGGGTACAATTGGGCCAGCAGCAATATGACCAAAATGATCTTCTGGAGGTGGTGGTAATGGCGGAGAAGCTGATGCTTGTCTAGTATGTTGCTGTTGAGGGGAAGTGACTACTGCAGATGAGGAATGATATTGTGATGAGTTTTTTAAGATACCAGGTAACTGTGAGGTATTTGCACGATAATGGTCAGTAGTTGTTAGTGAGGAAGTTAGAACGATAATGATCAGTAGGTGGCTGTTGAGGGATGTTTGAACGATAATGATCGGTGGATGATTGTTGAGATAAATTTGAACGATAATGATCAGTAGATGATAGTTGCGATGTATTAGAGCGATAATGATCTGTAGAAGATTGTTGAGATATATTGGAACGATAATGGTCTGTAGATGACTGTTGAGAAGTATTTGAACGATAATGGTCAGTATTTGATGAAAAAGGAGCCTGATGGAGATGATGGTCCAACAAATCTGGTCCAACTCCCATTCTTGTGTTTAATGTATGAGGAGACGGTGGAGCTAAAACACAATATAGATTAATAATTATAGGTTAGCTTCATACTACAAATTTAAATTCACATACGAGGCATAGAGTTTAAAGATGATGGTTGTTCCGTCTGCTGCATTGGATGCACCATGCCAATGATTGGAGATTGTTGTATGCTACTAGATGACGATGTGTGATGCAGAGGAAGAGTATTATAACCAGGTCCTTTTTCACGTCTGACATGGCCTAGTGGATAATTAGGAGCATAATGACTGGGAACTTGTGGTGGAGCAACGGCGGGAGGTGTACGATATTCACGAGACCCTTTACTCAATGATCCAGTTGCTCGTATAACTGCTGGAGGAGTAGGTGGTTTGATTGTAGGAGCAGGACCAACAGATGACATATTAGTTGAAGCACTAGAACTATTGGAAATTGGTTGACGGACCATACGGGGAGTATTACGAACACCGTGGCCAATATCATCAAGTGCTGTAATTTAAAATATATACAAATAACATACAATTTTAAAATAATGATTTCTAAATCTTTAAATTAGTTATGTGCAATACATAATATTGTTATATTCTCAAAACAGAAAGTAGCAGGTACCTGTAAAATCAATTGGTTTTCTAACATATTTAATAGGCTTTTCTGGATTAGCAGGTGCAATGATTTTATATTGACGGTTGGTTGTTTTATTTGCTGTCAATACACCGATTTCTCGTCTAGCAACTTTTTCTTTATGAATCATTACATTCTATAAAATTAAAAATATTGATATCATTTTTGTGATTAGGATTTAGGATTTTTGTTACAATCTTAAGTACTACTAAGAGTACTTATTAGTTATTACCAGTGTTGGATAATATACTTTTAAAAAGTAATGAAATTACGTTACTCATTAAATCAAATATTTTTATTTAAATTACATTTGTGTTACCTAAAATTATTTTTATTATGTTACATTACTTTTTCATTAATAAAGTAGTGTGTTACAAATAACGTTACTTTTTTTTGTAATTTTTTTTAACCATATTCAATTCATATGATTCAATTATTATGTATATATTTTAAATCATAGACCTATTATAGTATTATGTACAAATGTACAATCATTTCACCTATATGGCTATACTGGGTGATTCTTTTATCAAACAACACTCATTATTTCAAAAAGTGTAAATTTTTTTGAAAATATTTTTTTACATAGTTTCAAGTCGCTTATAAAACGTTTTTATTAAAAAATTATATTTTTAATTATTTTTATCCTTATAATTTTTTAAGTTTTTTACTTTTTTGAATGACAACATAGGGTTTTAATTTTATATTCCAAAGCAGAATATTTTTCTTAGTATTTTGATACATGAAAATCAAATTTGGGTTGAGTAGTTTATGAGTTATAAGTATTTAAAGTTTAGACGAGCGGTGAAGTGGACAAACATTTCGCGGGGTAACCCCGAACCACTCCACTCCGCTCGTCTAAACTTTAAATACTTATAACTCATAAACTACTCGCCCCAAATTCAATTTTCATGTATCAAAATACAAAGAAAAATATTCTACTTTAGAATATAAAATTAAAACCCTATGTTGTCATTCAAAAAAATAAAAAACTTAAAAAATTATAAGGATAAAAAATAATTAAAAATATAATTTTTTAATAAAAACGTTGTTTTATAAGCGACTTGAAACTATGTAAAAAAATATCTTCAAAAAATTTACACTTTTGAAATAATGAGTGTTGTTTGATAAAAGAATCACCCAGTATAGTCATAACTCATGTCATAAATCATAATTAAATTTTATTAAACTGAACTCTTTTCTTTCTGCTAATAAAGTTATAACATTTATTCCTGAAATGTTTAGTAATATTGTATACTATTATCCGAATCAAAAATAAATATAATTGATTTTTAATTTTTCTGTAATATCCTATCCTTTTCATAACGTGGAAAATAATGCGTTAGTGCGTTACTTTATAGATACAATTTATATTTACAATTGCATTACTTTAAGTAAAATGTAATGAAATTACTGCTACGTTACTGAATAATTAATTGTGTTACAGTAATTTGTAATTTGTGTTACGTTACTACCTAACACTGGTATTATGCATGTATATTGTATATACAATATGCAGGTAGTAATATATAAGTAATACCCAGTAATATATTACAGGGGAAGGAGATGGGTTCCCCCTAAACAAGTGTAAATGTTTAAATATGTGGTTCCTAACTTTAATAGTGATTATAGTCACCAAAGTATAAAATATTTATTATAAATACAAATTATTTTTTATTATTATAAAATGTATAGCACTTAAAATTACTTCTCTTGTGCCTAACCTATCAATGATTAAAAAAAAGAGACATTTAAAAATACAATTACATACAAAATATTTTCAACCCTCCACCCTTGGGATTGCCACTGTTTCAGTAAACATCTGTACCTAGTATATATTATGCTAGATGACCAATTATATGAATTACAAAAAGGTGTGGATGTCATACAGTTATTATGATATTTTCAAAATTTTTAACACAGATTTCTAATCAGTACATATTATAGGATGTAATAATTCAGTATGTAAATTTATATGAAAAGATTACTTGAGCAATGTGGTTGATTTGACTATCCATTTCAGATAGTTGAACGGTTTGAAGGTCCAATAATTGTAAAAAGTTATAAGCAAGTGTGTTTATTTGATATGCAACACTAGCTAACGACTGGGTAGTATAGTTTTTTGTTTCTTCTAAAGCCAATCGTTTATTCTCAGCTTGAAAATAATTTCCTTCACAGTATTCAGCAACACGCTCTAAATTTACATGACTGTCTGTCAAACTGTTACGACCTTCCGGTATATCAGCTTGTAACAGCTGCGCCAATTCAGCCATGTTGTCAGAATCACTTCCTAAGCCAGATTCTCGACTTGGATCTGAAGTTCCTGGAAATATATTTTTGAAAAAATAATTATTATTTAGACTTAGCCAACAAAGTACATAATTACAAATATTATGTTATAACCTTCCAACAAAAAGTACAAAAATCCAAGTACTCTAGTAAGTAGTCTTAACTAAAATTTGAGTAAAATTATAAGATAAAATAAAAGTTGTCTTGGGGGACGGAGTGGCCGAGGGGACTAAGGTATCGGTTACGACACAGCCGATGTTGATTCGATACCTCGGCCATGTGCAGCAAGTCACGGTGTCCGGCAGATACCTACGGGTGCCAAACAAACACACAAGTGTTCCTCCCCTTACCAACAAAAACCTAAAAACAAAACTAAAAATAGCTGATGGCCTTAGTTACTGGGCTCGAGAAAAAAAAAAAAAAAATAGTTGTCTTAATGGGTTGAAGAAACTGACGTAAGTTTACTATTTTGGTTTTAAAAACAACTGAAATAATAATAACTAATAATTACATAATATTAATTATTAAATATAGGTACTTTTATTTTACAATTGCTATATTTACATACTGACTTTTTAGTGCCATTATCAAAATATGTCAAATATATGTATAGAATGATAATGCTCCAGTAAAGTGACCCATTGCTCACATAGACAGTCACAACTCACAACACAAACAGAAAAGCTGTTATATCAACAGTCAACTGTATCAGATGAATTAGTGAAGTTCGAGACAACATGCTAGGTATTGTATTTTTATTGTGTATATTATATTATTCCAAATACAGTATTAGTCCATGTCACAATCTGATAACAATTTATACCAGTGTCCATATTTATGAAAGTTAATAATTTATTTATTAGTCATTAATGTCGTCATTGACCCAAACTATTGGTTATGACTTATGAGTTTATGACTAACGGATGTGAATAATAATTTATATAATTTTATTCTAGTAACACTGCTTATATTTAATCGTTTTCTGAAACTGAAACTTTTATTGATTATAAAAATATAAAATTGTAAGACCGTGTAGGTATATACAGTGGCGCAATTATCGGGAGTGTTGGGTGTGCTCAAACAAGTATTTTGAGATTTACGATAGAAATTTTTGTTTATAAATGGTTGCTATTGGTTATAAGAAAAATAATAAATTTCAAATAAAGAAATGATACCTTAAAACAAATATGAAAGTTGAATGTATATTTGTAGCTATTATATAAGTTCTTAAAAACTACTTAAATAATTTTGTGAAAATTTCAAATTGTTCTCGGAGATATCACTATATCAGGAAAGTTTAAAGAGTAGATTGTCCATCTTGGTTGATTTAGTTTGCAATGCTACCCAAATTTATCTATAAACTGAGGTACCTACCTAGGTACACCAAAACCAAGAAACTCTTATATAACTCCTAATCTAAATTTTGTATTTTTCATTTTTTGTCGGGCGAAACAGGGACAGGTAGGTACAACTAAAATTGAATGTTTGTTTTATCCGAAGTTAATAGCCTCAAAAAATGACCGTGTTCAATAAAATTTATTTAAATAGATTATTACTTGAAACTTGGAAGGTGTATATAGCTTGATTTTTTCAATCATATAGGCTGTAGATATAGGTAAAGGGTAGTTCACACATGATTTTTTTTAGCATACGAAATAATAAATTTTTTTTGTCAATCTAAATGGTTGCAATTCGTTACATATTATATTAATATTATAATTAGATGAAATATGGTATATATACATTTTGTACAAATATATTTATTAAAAATACAAATCTTTGGCCTGGACAAAGTCGGGCGGTACAGGTACTATAATATAATAACAGTAAATAATAATATCTTTACTCTTTTAAGTTTGGAGAATTCGAATTACAAGTACCCATACGAGAAACTTGTGTAAGGTTGGGTATATTATATTGTAACTAATAATTATTAACTACATGTAAGAAAATAATATTTATTAGAGTTACAATAAGGTATGACTGTATTTCATTCTTGCTAGCAGTTAAGGGCCACGGTCTAGAAATGTTCACATGGGCCCCTTATTATCAAGTTGTGCCACTGTAGGTATACATTTACATCATCAACTAAATTCAATAAGCCAGTTGTTATTATTACTTAAATAAGTAAAATCGGAAACCAAAATTTCTCTACCAACAAATATCGGTATAGATTTCTAAGAAAATCGTAAAAGAGTTCTGGTAAGGTTCTGAATTCAATATTTTCAAAAGATCCGAATCAAATACTGGTATATATAATTTCGGTTCCAAGCCCTGGTCATTGATCAATAACACTGACAGGTAGTACTAAAATATTTGTTTAGTGCGAGGCTACGAACAGTCATTTTCTCTAGCATAGTTGTTGTAATTACATTATACAATACATTAATACATAAATACTTGTTCAACCTGTATTCGTAAACGTCGTCCACATGGCCATATTTCAATGACATTAACTTGTTAAAAAAGATCGAGAACGAATAATATAGAACTGAGAAGTTAGTTTTATTAAATTAAATAATTGACAAATTTCACATTAAACTATTAAATATATAATTGATAAAGCCATCGACTCGCCCAAAGCCACAAACTGATTGTACTATAACTGTATATAGATTATAGAACGTAGGTAGATGACAATGAAATAATGAATTATGAACTACATATTATCATATAGTACGTTCAATGTTGACATGAGCCAGGAGGGGCTTTTGCCTATTAGGTGGCTCGCTGTCGGTAAAACTGTATAGAATATAGATGATAACCATAACTTATCTTCAGTAGTTCGTAGTTCTGAGGAATGTACTCAGAGTTGCCAACCCATGATGTTAGTCACTCACTCTGAACTCCATAATGCATTATTAATTACATATTATTCATACATATTGTTCTATGATATTATCATTGATTATAAATACTATAGTATTTATAATCAATGATATTATATATAATATATAATAGATACCAGAATTAGAGACGAACTAATGACTATTAATAAGATCTTGGTCCGTGGATAATTTATATTTTAGACAATTTTTTGTCTGTCTAGAAAAGTGAACCAGCTGGTACTTTTGAGAGGTCAAAATTGAAAATTCCCAATAGTCTGAGAAGCGTCAGTTAAAAAAAAAATTTGTAATTTTTACTATCACCTATCTAACCAAAATAATTTACAAACGCTTCCACCAAAATTTAAGAACGCACACAAATATTCTAGTACCCCACATGTCCACCGTTACCCTCCAAAAAACCCGCCACGCAGATTATAGCGTAAATGGTGTAGTCGGTGTAGAGCATAGACCTATTCAGAATTTCTTAATAGGTCTATGGTGTAGAGACCACGATTAAAGATATACCTTTAATACAGTGGCGTCCGCAGGATTTTTCAATGGGGGGGGGGGGGGGGCTTGAAAATTAGTTAAATTTTTATTTTGTCCAGTCTAATAATTTCAGACGTTTATTTGAGGTATTTTGAAATGTTTGTAACTTTTCAACTTTTCTGGTAGAAACAATGCTCTGATCATAAGCTTCGATACCCAGTGTATGTTTTTGGAAGCAAATTGGCACTAGTTGGTACTTTTAGGAGGTCGAAATTGAAAATTGTCAGTGCTTTTAAAAATAATTGGGGGAAAAAAAATGAAAATTTATTTAAATGTTTGGTTATTCCGTCTTCACTTGGATTGTATTTGAATAATTAAATTTTTTTTTCTATATAAATGTCAATAAAAAATTATTTATCCGGTCAAAAACCTTAAAAATGTAATACGTAAGTTATTTTATTACAGCTATAATATTAACGATACATAGGCATAGTGTTTGAAAATTTCATGAAATTTAAAAAAATGAAATGTGTACCTAACCTTTGGTGGTATTATACATTTAAAATGGTATTCAACATTTTTAAATGATACAAGTAGGTACCTATACAATATTATACATGTATATTGTATAAATACTGAATTCTGTCATTAGAACTTAGAACACTGAACATTGTGTTAAAAAAATAAACAGTGTTTTTATTTGTGTAAAAAAATTTCAATGTGTCACGTTTTTGTGAAATATTTCATACTTCAAACACTACATAGGCACCATGGTTATTTTTTATAAGCATTTAAAGTTCAAATTTCGTCAAAATGACAGTTAATATGTAGTTCAAAACTTATAAAATATAAAATATATATAGCTAAGGCTAGACAATTTAATACAAGGTCTTTCATACAAGTAGTTCATACTTTTACCTAAAAATTACAGATAATTTATGAAAATTGGTAGGTATGCAAATACAATGTTTTTTCAAAAATGAATTCATTCTGGTAAGACATAATATATATGAAATTTACTTCTTGCTTACTATTGTTGACAGTATAACTTGATTAATATTTTTTTGAAAAAGTAACAATAATACTGGCAATGGGGGGGGGGGGGGGGGCTTCAGCCCCTTAGCCCCCCCTGAAGACGCTACTCCTATAGTATCTTTATATTATTAATATATTATTATTATCTTTATATCTTTAATCGTGGTAGAGACCTATTAAATTAGTAAAGAAGGTATTAACTATTAATGTCCACACAAACTGCAGCGATAGTGGTGGCGGTAGCGGTTACTGAAAAATAATGCCAGACACAATTTAACCGCCACCGTCAAAACAAAAGAATTTTACCGCAACCGCCTTCAGTGTGTGGCGATCTTTACCGATAATGGGTTTCTTGATCTTCCTCTACACGCGTTAAGTGTCGATTTCACAGAGCAAATTAACTCGCTAATTGCTGGCGAATTAACTCGGTACGACTAAAGTCGCTCAATGTAATCGGTCTAGTCGCTTACTCGCTGCTCGCCCGAAATTAAAGTTGACGGCCGGGCTACTTTAGTCGCTAAACGCTGGTGTTTTTACACTCCAGGGAGTAAAATCGCTCAATGTAATCGCCCTAGCTGGCAAAATCGCTAGTGTGCCCCAGCAAGTGCCAAGTAGTGACTGGTAGCGAGCGAGCGAGCGGCGGGCGAATTTAATCGCTCAAATGCTCAATGTAATTGGACAGGTTGCTACACGCGCGACTTAGTTCGCCAACGACTAGCGAGTAAAGCGCAGTGTAATGAAGCTTTTTTATGCAAGTTAAAAAATATTAAAGATTTATAAGAACGATTATTTTTATATGTATTTCAAATTCAAATTTTAACAAAATTCATTAATATCAAAAATCTATAAAAGTTTCCATGGCTCACCTTAGAAATTTTAATAGAAGATCCCCCACAATTTTTTCTACCGTAAACAAACAAAAAAGTTTAGCTGAAAGTTACGTTACTACGTCAACCATGAGATATTTTCGATTTTTTTAATTTTTAATTAATAAAATAATTAATATTTTAATTAGTAAATTTTATTATTCAACAAGTATGCTAATTACTATATAGGATGACGCAACGTTTCCCCTCAGAATATTTTTTCGTATGCAATGGACAATGGTTTATCATTGAATTCAAATAGGCATAACACATCCATTTAGTCATTACAATGACATACTCGACAACTACAGCTGCCCAGCAGAGCGGTACTCACTTTCCACCTTTTTATTTTTGTTTTTCCCGATTATTTTAAAAAATACTAAGAAATTTCTACTTTTGACTCACTAACTAGATCCAATTTGTTACCAGAAGCCTCCCTTTAAGTGGACGATCGGAATTAGGAGCATTGTTTCTACTAGACAAACGTCTTACGACTACGGACTAACGTCTTCAGAGTTCGGACAAAAAAGAAAAGTTTCTTATCACATAATATAGTGATAAATAATATAGTTTGCCGACACCTATCTTTGGTCAGAACTCAGAACAACAGTTGAGCATACATAAATAAGTCATCAGAGGACTGAAGTACTCAGTTCTTAATTTCTTTTATAATTTATATTTCACAGTGCTCATACACGTAATACGCTTCGTACATAAATTATACTACTTAATACTTATTAATTTTGTTCCTTTACTTTTTATAACAAATACTTTAATCTTATGAAACATATAATCTTTTATTTGTATTATTGTTGAACTACAAATTACATTGTAGAGTTTAGTTGTAGAATATTTACTGTTTTAACTTAAAATATAATTTTATATATGAACAATTTTTGTTACTTTAAGTTTTTGTTATCTACATTATTAACAAATGTTACTGCACAGAAAATATCTTACATACTATTTTTTGGCAAGTCTTTCATTCATATTGGGATGCACATTGACAATGTTCATTTTGCACACAATAACATTTAAACCAAACACTTCACCAAACGGACTTAGACTTAGGTTGCTCGTGCTTGTCATATCAGCGGTAAAAAATCGAAATCGTCGAGATGCCATACGTGAAACATGGGCTCAACCAAAAGAAGATGTTAAAATACTTTTTGTTGTATCAAAAGACAAATCTTTAAATGCAGAAAACCTGGTACACAATGACATGTTGGAGGTAGATGAAGAAGAGGGGTACAGATTACTCACTCGTAAAGTAATAGCATCATTCGCCAGTGTACGAGATATTAACTTTGACTATTTGTTAAAATGTGATGACGACTCTTTTGTAAATATGCCATTAATTGTCAATGAACTGGAACATATGCCCAAAAAAAGGTTATATTGGGGTTATTTTGATGGTAATGCACACATAAAAAAAAGAGGTAAATTTAAAGAAACTGAATGGATATTATGTGATAGATATTTGCCGTATGCCTTGGGAGGTGGCTATGTTTTATCCAAAGATCTTATCATATATTTAGTGAAGAATCAAGATTACCTAAGGTATGTTGATCATATTTACTACAATAAAGTATAAATTATATTAAGAAAATAAGAAAATATTTATATTAAGTTTAATAAAATTATAAGGTTATATCTAACCAACTATCAACAAATTTACGCCATCAACAAATTTATAGAAGATTTAAAATGTATTTTAAACCCTCTTCTATTGGCTCTAATTTCTCTAATTAACAAAATTACACTTCCCATCTCGTCCACACCATAATATCCTTTTCTGATTTACCTTACCACTTTTATATATGATATACATTTTTTGTTTCATTTTTGTAATTGTTGAGAATGATAATCGCCTTTATACTGAAGTCTGGCTTCATTATATAGTATGTAAGAATTTAATATGTTGTGTTGCTTTATTTTTATTATGTAATTGTCAAGCTATCATAGTTTATACTAGGCTTTAAAAAAAAAAAAAAAAATCTAACCAACTATAACTGTCTTATTGGAAATTTTGTTTAACAATTTCTGTTCTTGTTGCTTATTTTTATTTTTCAGTATGTTTGCTAGTGAAGATGTTTCTGTTGGCGCTTGGTTAAGTCCATTAAATATAACAAGAAAACATGACCGGCGATTTGACACAGAATGGTATAGTCGTGGATGCCGAAATGATTATTTAGTAACACATAAACGTAGTCCTGAAATGATGAGACTGCACTGGTCACACAATATTCAGACTGGAAAGATGTGTGATAAGGAGTTTAAACATATAGCTTCCTACGAGTACGACTGGTCAGTTATGCCATCTAAATGTTGTATGAGAAACTTATCTTTATTTCCATAAATATATTTTCTAACTTAATAAGACTGTTGTAATTATTAATTTAATTAATTTCAAATAGGAATTTTGTTTTCAGTTTTGTATAAGAAATATATTTATAAATAAATTTAAAATAAAACATTATATTTTATTCTGAAATTTGTATGAAATTCTCAATGACAATAATTAAAATTGAGAACAATTTCTTATTGCCGTAAGAAATTTATGCACTATTCATAAATACACAAATACATATATGCACTATGTATTTACAAAATAAAAAAACTTATTTCATTTTAAAAATATATTATTTTTTCTTCCTGTCTGTAATACATTTTGGGCAGAACCATTTTCCTTTGGGCTTGGTAATTAATTTGACACATGCAAAGTGGAACCATTCGATAGGACACTGAAATAATAAAATAACACAATTAAAAAATTAAACTTCACAAAAACAAAACAATGAAACAATATTTACAATAAAAATGGAATGTTATTGATTTTTTAATGGTTACAATAATATAAATATTAATAAAATAAAAGTAAAAATTATTAATTATTATAAATATTAAAATGCTTACATCTGGATTATCACAGCCTATCATTTCACCATAAGAAACTTGGTTGCATAAACAGTATGTTGGTTCATTTGGATCAACAGGCATGTCTAATACTTCAGCCGAGTGAGCAACTCCGGCACCAACCAATGCACCAGTAAGAGAACTAGTCTCTACTGTAACACTGGCTACGCTATTGGTAGGGTTTGTCGGATTAGTGACAACACTGACCAAAGGTGTTTTGCTAGGTGCTGCACTGGTCGATTTTGCTCCTACTAAAAAATGTTGACATTATTATACAATAAAATCAACTCAAACAATACTAAAATTATGTTGTCTACAAACCTTTTTTCAGTTGTTTTTTTTTGGATGTTTTAGTAACCGATTCTTCTTCACTTGATGCACTTTTCTTTTTCACTTCTTTGTCTTTGGTCTTCTTACGTCCTCCTGAAACCAACAAGCATTAAGAAATGGCGGAACACTATAATAATACAATATATTATTGCAGAACACTTACGTTTTTGTGAACCTTCCTCTATATTCCTTGTTGCACTGATAGCTTTGTCTTGTATTTCGGCTTCAAAGCGGGCTAAATCAGAATCCAATTTTCTAATATGTTTATCCACCTGAAATGTAGGTACAACAAAGTAGAATAATTCTAGGATTGTGTGAACAATTCAAAATCAACATACTAATTCATAAGTTTGTATCGCCAATTGAACTTTGTCATCCCCGTATTCCTTCGCCTTGTCAAACTGACGTTGTATGCTGGTCATAATTTCATTCTTTTTTTCATTGGAGTATCCCTTAACATTAGACATGTAATCATCGGCCAGCTTATCGATGTTGCGCATCAATTCTTGAGCCCTTGAGTCCAGGTCTCTCATAAGAGTAAAGTTTCGCTGTAGTTCCACAGGAAGGTTCTCCAAACCTGAAATATCACTCTGTTAGTATTTCGTTGAAATGTTAAACTGAAAGAGAACCTACTGTCCAAATAGTGTTCCAGGTATAGCGCTGAAGTCATTATTGTTATGTTATGGTTCAGCCGAGAAATTTGGAAACAAAAAATAAACAATACTACAATAGACACTTGTAAACAACAGCTACAGCATGAATCTGGAATTTATTGTGTACCGTACCGTACATGTATTTCTGTTTTATCAACTTTTTGAATACGAAATTTGCCTCATAAATTTCTTCTGTTGATATCGCGAATCACGAGTCACGAGATTTTTCCATTTTGGTATGGCATGTCAGTATGTCACATGTAGAAATAACCTTATACAAATTTCGAATAAAATATACGGTATGCTTGATAGTTGGCAACACTGCGCGAACATTTTCATTTTTTAAACGGTCATTTATTTAAATTTTAAGCGTGCTATCACTAGACTATTTAATAGAAATTCGCTAGAGGCTAGACTAAACCGGTGTGAAAAATAATGCACCGGGATGTTTGTGTTGATGTTGGCCCATATTTGCTGGCCTTAGTTGTAAACACTGAGATAGATAAGATATACCAGTGCTTCTTAAGCTGTGGGCCGGGCCCCCTAGGTGGCTGTACCGGCCGTGGGCCGTGGCTATATTAATGGGGAGTCGGGAAATATTTATTTTATTTGAACCATTTTCTTTAAGTGTTTTTAAAAAAAAAACTCTTATTATTCTCGACTTAAATTAAGCGGGGTAGGTTAATTGGTTAATAAATAGCCGACAGTATCATTAATCATTATAAATAATTTATCTGTTTGAAATAGTACATGTAATTTTAGTATATAATTAAGAAAAAATAATTAATGATTTTGATTAAGTGCACATTAACAATTATAAATGCACAACATAGCAAAAACTGTTTTGCGAAATGCGTGGGACAACTTTTATTTTTCTATGTTTATAGTAGTGGCTCCAAAATGTCTGAACATATAGAGTGGAAAATTATCTATGCAACAGTGTGCCCATATCTTACAATTATGTTTTTTTTAATACTATAGATATTAGATATGTATATAATATGTCTTAAACCTAGACTGACATACCGTCTCCACTCAGAATCGTTTTTCTTATACAATGATATTATATCATTGAATTCAAATTTAATACCATCCATTATACAGTGGTCAGTGACCCACTTGTAACCTACTGTACAGCAGACTGCAGAGCACCTTTATTTTATTTGCTTATAAAAAATGACTGGATGGTGCTATTAAAAAAAGAGCAGGCTGTTGCTCAGATAAAGACATTAAGTTCTTTGTTTCTTTGATAAAGCACTTTGATAAAGTGTTTTGAAAATTTGGTAGTTCTACAACAAATATGGTGTGAGAAAAGTCAACGGTCAACCCGCGCAAAACAGTTTTTGCTAGAGAGACTAGATAATTATTATTATAATAATTATTATCTAGGCTCTCTAGTTTTTGCTATGTTGTACATTTGTGAGACAAAACATGAGGATGTACAATGGCGTCATTTGGGAGGGGCAACTATACCACAACCCCCACACAGCCACACCCTTAACTACTAAATAACTATATGCTATGAGAATCTGATTGAAAATAATTTTGAGTCGGAAAAGCAGTGAAAAGTTGCCCTAGTCTAATAAAAACTGAAATGACGCCACTGCGGGTGTGACATCCTCTTTAGTGGGCCTTGACAGTTTAGGGGGCCCCATGACAAAAAAGTATGAAAAGTACTAATATATACTATATAATATTATCTATCTCAATGCATACACAAATAACACGGTAAACACTAGGCATGATTCTTTTGATCCAAATAATAATTATGTGCAGCATCTGATAATATTTTTATCTTAGGTAGGTATTCTAAATTTTTATTTATATTTCATATGGTTTTCAAAAGTGTTGACAATATTATATACAATTACATAAATATATGATATAATTACCTAATGAGAAACAATATTTAGAGTAGGTACTTACCTATTGTTGTAAACTTGTAAGATAATATTTAAATTTTACAAAATAAATCTAGATTTAAATATGAAATTTAAAAAAAAAACTGGTTAGACGCTCTGCTGTACAGTAAGTTACAAGTGGGTGGTGGGTCACTGTAATAGATTTTTTAGTTACAGAATTAACTACTTACGTGGAACCTGGTTTTAAACTTTGTTAAATGTTAAAATAAATAATACATAATATTAATAATTAGAGCATAATCATTCAATAGTATTTGTTGGTAAGAGGCTTTTTTTCCGGTGATTTTATTTCGGGGCTTTTTGTCCCCGGCTTCTTATTCCTAGATTCCACAAGCTATGCTTATTGTCGAAAGTGTAGTCAATATTATGTATCCATTTTCTTTTAATATACTTACTATAATGTATTTACTGTTGTTGTGACAAATACAAGTATTATAAGACGTAATATAGGTAAAAAAATACAAATAACAATCATAGGTAATAACAACAATCGTAAACTATTCATTGTTAAGGTATTATACATTAAAAAAAAAAAATATTATTATTATTGACACTAGTAAATAACAATGTCCTTCCTGACTCCGGCATTATAATTTTAATGTTTTTGGTAATTAGCACAATAGAATCTCACTCAAATCTCACTGAAAATGTAGTTCCGAAATTCATTTTCATAGAATTTAATAATATAATAGGGGGACGGAGTGGCCGAGTGGTCTAAGGCGTCGGTTGCGATGCAGCTGGCGCCGGTTCGATTCCTTGGTCTTGGGTGGCATTTTTCTTCGGGCAAGTCAAGGTGTCCGGAGAACAAGTGCAGCCATCCCCCACCCGGGTATGGCAGATACCTATACGGGTGCCCAATCAAAATTTCTGCCAAACACTCAAGTGTAAAAACCCACCACTTTAAAACCCTACCACCACCACAATTCAACCTACTAACAGCTAATGGCCATAGATGCCGGGCTTAAGAATCAATAAAAAATAAATAGGTAATATAGTAATTAGTAGGTAATAGTATCTGCAGGTAGGAAACAGCTATAGGTATTGAAATAATTTCGAAAACTATGGCAGTGTTAAGTTCCAATGGTATTTTAAAATACAAAGACTAAAGACATATTATATATATTATAACCGATATAGCATATTAGCATAAAATTTAATTCCTCAGAGTTCGATAATTTCGTACAACAATGGAATTTTATGATGTTACATTCAGCCGGCAAGCCCGGCATCATACCCTAAATCTAAAAGCAATGTGCTTGCAGAAAAAAAACAGTAGAAACCAGCTGTAAACAATTACTAAAAAGTTCATGAAGAAAAAATAGTAATTGAATTAATAAATAGGAGACTTTTAAGAACCAAGAACTAAACTTTCACACCGCTAAATAGAACTTAAATTTTAGAAAAATAGAACCTACATTTAAGTTAGGAATAACGAAAAAACTGAAGGATTGTCAAATAAATACAAAACTTGATAAAACAGCCAATAAGAAAGTTATATCTTGTAATATACGGAGTGGCCCGTGAGGGGCGTCACATGATTGCGCACTTGCCACTTATACCTTTTTATGTTTAAGAAAACCCACCACGATTGCACACCTCTTACATTTAATATTTGAGAAATGGCAACAACGATTCCGCAAAACAAATATATGTTGTAACTTGTATTGTTGGAAATTAACAGAATGTAGATTGTCCCATAATATCTTTAATGATTTACTTACAATACTAAAGGTGAGTACCTATATTATAATATATAAATGAAACAAAAAACAAAATTATAACATAAATTAAGTTCATTAAATTCAAAAAATTTCCCAACATTAATAATAACATAATAGGTACCTAAAGTCAAAAATAAATAATTATAATATAATATACATAACAATTATTAAGCATCAAAAAAATGAATAATCTTCGGTATTTGTCTACAAAAATAAAGAAATAAGATTTACGCTGATAATTATAATTTATAATAAAATTTTTTTATAATAAAGTTTAAAAAATTTCCCAACATTAATAATAAGTAATAACGTAATACATATATATATATAGTCAAAAATATGCAATATTGTTATATTTTCTCAAATATCAAAAGGGAAAAAGTGAGCAATCGTGTTGCACCGCCCGCGAGGATAAAAAACAGATTTATAGTTTATTTATTATCTTAGGAGATTTCGCAATGGGTAAATCCCAGCGGGACACCCTGTATACTAGAATAATCAAAATAGGTACTGCAGAATAGCAATAATCTAAAACGTGGGCCCCAGGGAAAATTTTATGAAAATAACACACACCATGTTCTTATGTCGTTCTTAAAAATAATGGTAATAAAATAAGAAAAAACACTTACCACTTAAGACCTAGCTATATAATTAGGTACATTAATATATTATCTGGACATGCGTGCACGATTGATGTGGTACACATATATATTGGTGCTTCTACCTGTTAGCAATATACTCATAAAATTTGCAACTCATTGATTAAAACTATACAAGATTCACTTTATTGTAACATGAAATAACTTTACTATATAAACGATACATAACACAGATTCAGTTTATTACACGCATTGGCACAAGTGTCAGCATCCGACACTGAACCACTCACATGGGCACTATCGCACAGCACTGACTGACTGCCCGTCGTCACCACTGGTCGCCCTCTTATGACTAATGCAGTGCTGACACCCTACCCTGCGTATAACATATATAACATTCGGGCGTCCTGACCCTTAAGTGTCCTCGCTTAAGTGAACACTTTACATTTTAATTACATCCTTAATATTTAATTATACCTAACAGTTTACATTTTACTAAAAGAATTAGTTAGTGCTTATATCGCACATATCACATAATAACATTTTAAAACAGTTCATATTTATTTGTTTATTTTTTTTTTTTTTTTTTTTACATCTGGTAAGATGAATGCCAAGCTGGTGTTTTCTTTACACGTTTGGGTTGTTTGTCTTTTACTTCTGACTCCTTTACTTCTATCTCTTCGGTATTGGGTACATCTCGTGGTCTGTCTTCTTCCTCATGCTTCATGTCTTCTTCCTCATGCTTCATGTCTTCTTCCTCATGCTTCATGTCTTCTTCCTCATGCTTCATATCTTCTTCCTCATGCCCCATCACTGTTGAGTCTTCGTTTGGTTCCTCATTTGCTGGTAGATGATATCCCTTAATATGTGAAACGTGAACGACAGTCACATAACGTTTTCCAGCTTCGACGCGTAGCCCTGCCACTCGATAAACATCATTAGGTAGTACCTCAGTAACTACCAGTGGGCCACGGTATTTGAACTGCAATTTTGTTGACTCCCCTGTGGCTTCTGGTGGTCTGCGTATGAATACCACTTCTCCAACCTCATAACGTATTGGCTTGACATGCTTAGAATCGTACCGTTGCTTCCATTGCTGATGTTCTCTAGATATGCGTTCCCGGATTTTGTTTTGAATCTCTGCTGCAGAGTCCCATACCTCGTTTGTTGTCACATGCTGCAACACTCCGTCCCTAAAACTTGGATAATATCCGTATAATACATGAAAAGGTGTATCACCGATTGTTTTGTTATAAGCATTATTCAAATGACACTCGATGTCAGATATACGTTTATCCCAGGTCCGATCCGACTCCATAGTTGACTGCATTACCGGAACTAGGGTGCTGTTGACACGTTCCACCTGTCCATTGGATTGTGGGTGTCTCACCGAGTTCAACGTATGGCGAATACCATATTGTACACAGAATGCTTCGAATGCCTTAGACGTGAAGGCCGTCCCTCGGTCGCTGATAATTCGCCTTGGCGTCCCAAATGACTTCACAAATAACTGTAAGTTTGTCACTACCGCCTCTGTGCCACAGCTCTTCACTGGATATAGCTTAACATATTTGGTTAAATTGTCAATCAACACTATAATATGACTGTTACCTTTTGTTGATTTCATAAACGGACCAATGTGATCAACGTTGATCACCTCGAACGGTCGTTTACCTGGGGTAATGGGGTGAAGCTCACCAGGCTGTCTTCCTCGGGGGGTTTTAATTAGTATGCACTCAGGACAGCAATTAATGTGCATCTTCACGTATCTGCGCATCATTGGGAAGTAGTACTTTTCTTTTATCTTACTGACTGTCCGGTCCACTGCGAAATGACCCGCCAAGTCATGGAACCTTACCACTATACTCTTTCGCATTGACTCAGGTACTACCCATAATAACCTTGTTTCGTTGTTGTCCACCGTCACCTTCCTATATAACATACCATGGTGAAGTTGGTAATCTTTCACTCTTTCAGCTTCGGTTGTTGTATGTTCTGATTCTTCTTGACTAAGGATACTCATGATTGCTTTCAGTTTCACATCTGCCTGCTGCATTGCTATCACCTGATCCTCCTCGGTCATAGCAATAAACACTTCCATGTGCTCGTCCAATAATTCAGTTTCAGTGTCCTGTGACATGCTTGTCGGCGCACGACTCAAGGCATCAATATGATCCATCCTACTGCCTGGACGATGCTTTATATCAAAATTATACTCACTTAGGAGCGTTGCCCAACGCGCTACTTGGGGGTTCAGAGTCTTTTGGGTATTAAGATGTACTATTGCCTGACAATCTGTAACAACTAAAAATTTAATCCCAATTAAATAAGGTCGCAATCTACACATACTCCAGACCACTGCCATTAGCTCCTGCTTGCTCGAGTGGTAATGTCGTTCAGCTGAGGTAGTCTTTTTTGATACAGCATGCACCAAGTGTAACCTCTTACCTTCACCTCGTTGAAGCAACATGCCACTCAGACCCACACTGCTAGCGTCACAGTGTAATTCAGTATCCGCATTAGGGTTGAAGACTTGGAGCACTGGTTTACTGACCAACCTGGCCTTCAGATTGTTGTACGCTTCCTCCTGAGTCTCTGTCCACACAAATTGCTCATTATCCCGAAGTAAGTCGCTTATTGGTCGGGCTATCTCCGCATAACGTGGAATGAACCTTCTGAAAAACCCACATAAACCAAGAAATCGTCTCACTTCATGTTTGTTTTTAGGTTTTGGATATTGTTGTATGGCTATGGCCTTTTGATCACCAGGCCTCACTCCAGCTGCTGACAACATAAATCCTAAATATGCTACTTCAGTGCATCCAAAATGACATTTACTCAACTTGAGAGTCAGTTTTGCTTCTCTAAGTGCATCGAATACTTGACTCAACCGATTTATCAAGTCCTGGAACGATGTTGATGGTACCAGAATATCGTCCAAGTACCACATAGCGACTTTGTTTTTCAATGGTTGTAATATTCGTTGCATCAACCTCGAAAATTCATAGGGTGCGTTGATGAGACCGAAAACCATTCGTTCGAATTGACCCGACTCACTCGGTGTGATAAACGCAGTTTTCTCTTTAGACGTTTCAGTTAGAGGTACCTGTAGGTAACCGGAGGCAAGATCAAGAGTTGTAAACAACGTTGCTCCATGTAGGGTTTCCAGGTGCTCGTCTATATTAGGAGTAGGAAAAACTTTTCTCACCGTTTGAGCATTCAACTTTCTATAGTCAACCACAAGTCTTGCGTCGCCATCTTTTTTTGTAACTAATAGTACTGGTGACGCATAAGCTGATTTTGTTTCAGTGACAATGCCCGCCTCCTTCCACTCCTGTACTATGCGACTAATTGTTTCTCGTTCAGATGCGCTGGCTCGGTATGGTTTGCTCATCACTGGTTTACCATCATCCACAATATCCATCGCTAGAACATCGGTACACCCGAGCTCATTTAAATTAAATGCGAAACACTCACGGTATCGATTTAGTAAATGCACTAATCTGTCTACTTCGTCACTGGAAAGTGTCGAACCATACTTCACCATCTCCGCAGTTATGGGTGTCTTTACATCATGGTTGTTTTCAGTAGACTTCCGACCACCTCGGATAACTCCTACCGATTGATCCCTGTTCAGCCTTATCGCAGTATCTTCCTCATTGATGAGCATTACCTCTACATCATGGTCACCTGCATTTACCTTTATCATCTTCATACTATTGGCCGGTATGTTTTCGTTTTCGCCAACCACTCGCACTATTTGTTTACTAGTGGACTCATATGGAACACCTCCCTCCTGATATGGCATCATCATACCGTAGGCAAACTGTAATTGATCCGTTGTTTTGATAAATGTGACATTTTCACAGTCAGTAAAGGAACGGCCAATTATTATATCGTATTGTTGGATTTGGTCGTCAACTACCACCAGTGTGATGAGCTCACTCACTTCATCAATATGGATGGTCGCTTGTGTTTCACCATAACTTGCTATTGATTGAGCATTTCCGTAGACGTACATGTTTACCGTTTTAGGTCGCACCTCTAGACCATAGGACTTTGCAATAGTCTTTGTTATAATAGTGAAAGCACTACCGGTATCGACTAGACCTCGGACGGTTTTCTTGTTGTCGTTGATACGCACTTCTTTAATGTAATACATGAATTTACTTTTAGTTTGACAACTCACTAGACTCACATCCGGCGTATTGGCTACTTCACAATATTTAGATGTATGTCCTTCCAATTTACACTTAGTGCATTTAAGTGGTCGTCGTGGTTGCGTACAATCCCTTGCAACATGTCCGGTCAGTTGACAATTGTAACAACGAGGTCCATCATAAGTTTTACGAAACTCTTTCTTAATTGGACTACTTGTAATTGTATTCTGTTTATCCGTACCGACCTTCGGTACACTTGTACTTTTCGCGGCGATTAATTGTCTACTCGGTGTCGACGTACTACGGAAACGTTCACCACGTATTAAACTCACCTCGTTGTATTCACGAATGTCAGCCATCAACTCCTCTTCACGTACATGTCCATTACTCATTAATGCACTTGACATATCTCGAGAATGTAACCCGACGCAAATCATTTTCTTGGTTTCACTCATGGATAATTTCAACCGGCGACACATCCGCACTTTGTCGTGGAAATAAGCGAAAACCGTTTCATTCTTTTGTTGTACACGCTCGTACATTCTCTTCCATGTTTCTGTTACTTCTTCTGGTGCCATAAACATAGCTTCGAACGATTTAGAGAATTTAGCAAAAGTGTTTAGTTCAACCATGTGACTGAGATACCAGTTCCTCGCTGCTCCCTCTAAATAAGAGCGTCCCGCTTCCAACGTACTCTCATCAGGCCAACCGTTTAATTGCGCGGCGGTTTTCAACGCATTCAACCACTCCGCAGCCGCATCAGTATCACCTGTTTCGCCATTAAACATTGGGATCGTCTTCGTCAGATTAGGTAGCATCATCGGTGTCGTCGTTTTCTGGTTGTCCATTAATTTGGTTATTATTTGCTCCATCTGCTGCTCACGCAGTCTGTTCTGTTCGAGCATTGCGCGCACCAAGTCAGCCATATCACCCTGTACAGGCGAACTGTTCGAATTTGCATCGGTTTCATTTCCCATATCTCTTGTTTGTTTACCTCCACTATGATAAGGTGATAAGAGATAACGGAAACCGCAGTTACCTAGGTACACAACGCTCACGTTTATCGTTAACCTCACAACAAATATTTGAGGTTATGTTCGAACTTAAAAAAAAATGTCGCACAAACCACGCTTTTCTTACAATAAAGAAAATAATTCAAAACGAACGAAACTTACACACAAGAGTTAACGCGTTAATGAATCGCACTCACGACGGTACCGCAACCGTTTTCGGCGTTTGCTACGGACGAGGTCGCACTTTCCCCGTTAGGTAGCAATAAATCCCACTTCTGAATTGTTAGCAATATACTCATAAAATTTGCAACTCATTGATTAAAACTATACAAGATTCACTTTATTGTAACATGAAATAACTTTACTATATAAACGATACATAACACAGATTCAGTTTATTACACGCATTGGCACAAGTGTCAGCATCCGACACTGAACCACTCACATGGGCACTATCGCACAGCACTGACTGACTGCCCGTCGTCACCACTGGTCGCCCTCTTATGACTAATGCAGTGCTGACACCCTACCCTGCGTATAACATATATAACATACCGAAATCATGGTTTATGAGTAATTGTAATATTACTATGTATAATCAATTGTAATATGTATATATGTACCTGTATAATATATATTATAATTTATAAGGTATATTTTTTATAGCATAGGATTTAATATGAACGTGATCAAATAAATATAGGTAAGTACCAAAAAAAGGAAACAAAAACGACGATTTATGATAGTGTACTGCAGTGTAAACACAATATAATACATGCATAGGTAGTAGTAGTAGGAACACAATGAATGCTTAATTAAACAGAACAATAAAAAAATATATTTTTAACAACGAATCATAATATACAAACCTAATATACTATAAGTATAATATATTACCATGATCGCCGTTCAGCTAAGCAAATATATGTATATACATATACATAATGTATATTGTATAAGACGTAAATCGTAAACCTCTATAATCTCTGTACCCTATGGTAAAGTTTGTAGGTACTATCGTAAGTACTTATGACTTATGAGTATATCACGGTGTAGATTTATCTATAAATAATTATTATTTATTATGGCTTACATAATGGTGTTATAGAAGACATCTTCTAAGACCGTGGCTTTTATTATAATAACTAATAAGGTATATAGAGAATATTATAAACTATGATGATTATAGTAATATAATTAATCACACTATTAAACAATAAGCTACCTATATCCCTATTATAAACAGTAATATTCTCAATTGTCACTATACGCGTCATTGAGTTCAAATACGAAAAAACCTTTCAACATTTGTATTTTCACGATACCAATGGAGTCACCTATATTCTTCTTCTAAGCTTATTCAACAATTTAACAATTACCTTAATAACTACTGGATTAATATAATTTACCCATCTATCTATTGGACTCCCAGTGTGCACTATAGTGGATTATACATTTATAAACTCTAAATCCACGGTGGATTCTGAGTTTATTTTAAGTTTGGTTTATTTTACATTGATTCAGCGTTGTTTAAATTACATAATTTTAGTTTACAATTAAACGGAAAAAAGTTATTTACTAAGCGGTTATTCAACGTTGAATATTTGATAATAATAATTGTTTAAAACCTAGTGTTAAAATTGCGTACTATAATATTTATAATATCCTTATCAGGACTTCTTTATCACCGATCATCTAAAAAAAAAAATATTAGCCTGTTGGGAGTTGAATTTTTCATCTTGATTCCAAAAAATGTAATATTATATTTTTCTAGCAATAATAGTTTGTAAGATATAAGTAAAATAAACTATATGCCATTTATGGCACAATACGTGAAAACGGTTCAGATAATTTGTGGCATTTGTGAATTGTTTTCATAAATACAACAATGGTTTCATCAAAAAACTATTTATTTCAAGTTTATTTTTCAATATTTCGGAAGAAAATAATATTGCTGTAATAAGAAATGTAAGTATAATTTAATTTACAATATATAAAACTTATTTTTATGAATGTAGTATTTTAAAAACTATATAACTTTCATTGTTTGATGAAACGTTTGGCACAATACATGCTTTATGTATATTAGACATATTATTTAATACATAATGTTCTATAGGTCCTAAATAGTTACATAAGTAGACACCAACGTTTATTGATGAAACACTAATACCATCAGAGTTTCCAAAAAATTCATTTATGCATTGAAATTTTCTTCCTATAAAACTTATATTTTTGAACTTGTTATCACTCTGAACTAAAATATTTTCTACAACAAAAATAAAGTAATTATTGATGTCATTATCCATTACAATTATGCAGTCGTCTCGATGAGTATATAAATTTTGTTGTTCTGGTTTTCTTATTTGAATAATAAAATGTTCAAATTTCATATGCATATATTGTTCACAGTTCGCATGCTCATTTAATAGTGGTCCATTATTATGATTTTCTTTAAAAACTGGATAACTGTTGCTAGTTGGCAAATATTTTTCTTCCCTTGCTAACCTATCTTCAATAATTCTGTTGTACAATTCAGTTATTGCATATCTTCCAGATTTTAAGTACCTTTTTAATCGGCCTAAGAAATTTTCATACCAGAACGCATTAAATTGATTTATGTTTCCATACCTTAGTACATCATTGGGAAGGTGAAGTAATGAATGCACATTGTATGAAATTAAAAAAGTCCCATATATAATTCCAAAAGTGTCAACAAAATATCTTATTAATGATTCTGCAAATTTATTCTCATCTTTATTTGTAGCTCTAGGTGATGAAAGTATACGCATTGCACAGTAAAATGCAATAAAGTTCTTGTAGATAGGATCCGGTACAATGTCTTTAAATATTAATGCCCCTGTATATAACATTATTTGTCTTAATTCAGTTGCCTTAAAATCACGATATTTATTTAGTGACAACGGTATGCGAGCAAAATCTGTGCTCAAAAATGGTGCTATTGTTTCCATCCTTTTATTTATTTCCTTAATTTTTATTGAAGGAAGTCTTACACATCCAAATAATCCAGTTTGCTTGATCGATCCATTTACTAAAAGTCTAATTATCTTTTTCATAATACCTACAGTAAATAGTAATAATATAATAATATAATATAAATATTATAATAATAATTGATATTAAAATATATTTACCTAAACAGCATAAATGTAGGTAATCTAATGGAAAATTTGAAACCAAACCTAAAGATGGTATTAATAGTAAAGGTGTATCCCCTGTATGATGTTCTGGCTGCAATTTCTCACGAAATGATTTGTCATCTCTTAAATTTGCATTGCCATCAGGAAAACACATACGATTCTCTGTATAATATCCTTCCTCTGTACATTTTTCACAAGAAAAATAAGCCATGTGTCCTTTGATACACTTCAAAAATGACCTATAAATTTAATATATTTAATAAATGTAGTTATAGGTATCGATTTAAAATTATAAAGGAAGTAAATGTAACAGATACCTAACGTGGTGGCCCTGGATCCTTAAAGAGACAGAGGCCCTCTTTAATACAGAAATTAATAATTATATTATAATAAATATATCTAATCGCCCATTTAAAAAGATAAAGATTCTGTGCCCCAACTTGAACATACTTTGGGGGACCAGTGGCCCTAGCCTAAATACCCCACTGCTAAGTGTACACTTAATCCAGATAGTTTTTTAAGTTTGTGATGTGTTTAGGTAAAAGTGATAATAATTATTACTAATTAATTAGTCATAATTCATACCTGGCAGGTGCATCAGCTATAAATCCCATAAGTTTGATGTTATATATTTGATTATTTAACTCAAATCCATCATCTAAAATATGATTAATGTCTTCAATTAGTTGTTTCAAGTATTCCGTGACATTTCCTGGCTTTTTGTCCCCACAGTAAACTCCAATCACAAATGGAAGAATTTGTTCAGTATCCAATTTTAGACCTCCCATAATTGGCCAAAATTCATGACCTAATATTGGTATTCCGTCTATTGCTATCCAAACAGGTAATATATTTAATTGTTGCAAGTATGGATACTGTTGCAATAAGTGTGTTAAACCTTCTTTTAGTCCCAAATGAAAATATTGACCGTTTTCCATTGGAATAATAGATGCACTACCAGATTTAGGACAGTTTAATAGAGTTCTAGAATCTAATGGTAGATTCTTTAACTCATTTAAATCTTCAACATTGTGTAATAAATGCAGTAATTCAGTTACTTTATTACGTGGTATATTTCCATCAATAATTAAACGAGCTAATTTTTCTTTAAAAGTATATGTATTTAACACTGAATTGGGTGGTAAACATTGTACAAGATTCTTATTATGGTCTATGATATCATTTTGTTCAATTTGCAGTTGGACAGGCGATGTTGTTTTAGTGGTTTCCAATTCTATATGCTCTATTAATGGTGATTGTGAATGATTCTGAGGTAGTATGCCTGAATGTTGGGTTATGGTTATGTTTATTTTTTGATTTTTAAGTCGTCGTAACTGACTTGATCGCTCTAATAGGCGAGTTGGTATGTACGATTTTTTTGGCATTTCTTCCTGTACGATACTTCTCCAATTTGTATAATATATTCATATAATATTTTAGTTCATAAATATTATTTAATGTTTAATTACAAAGTACAAAGTGAAAAGTTAAAAAGTGTTTAACCTCTGACCACGAAATAAGATATAAGTTTATATTAATTCTTAATTCGTATTTCATATTTTCGTGCTTCCAACAGGAAATTGGCGTCAAGCACGACTCATGTCTCATAGATAATACGATTGTAGATAACAAAACGGTATCTTGTTATCTGTTTCATGTTTGCAGTTTACTTGGTCAGCTTGGTTACACAGTTACTCCATAGAACAATGGTTAGATAGACGCTAGATTTAACCTAACATAATTTAAACCGAATTGTTTATATTGTTTATAATTTATTTTCACGTTTCACATGGTTTCACCAATCATCAGTAAAATACTAAAATGTCTGTTTCTGTACTACACTACTACCTGTCTTCTGTTAATTGTAATTGTTATTCAATATCAAATTGAATTTCTTTTCTAGAATTTTTCATCCGACATCCGTTATTTTAAAAGTTACAAAAATGAGTATTCTGACCAACTATAGTTTAGAATTAGTAACTTTTCAGTACGTTCTTATTGATTTTCCTGAAGACAAGAATGCATTAGCTTTGGTATGCACAAGTTGGATATTTTATTGCGAAGAATCATCTGTCTACAAATGTAAATGGCCAGGAAGCATAAATGCCAACAAGTTTGCTAAAAAACGTGTTACACCATCGTTAAACTGGGACATATTTGTATGTAATATCAAACGGTTTTTTCGTAAGTATATACTTCTTATATTTGTATAATATAATATTACACATATTAGGTGTAATCGCCTGTCGGTGTAGCAACTGGCAATTAGGTTTTGTTTTTATTTTTTGACCTAACATCAATACTACTTGAATAATTGTATAGGTTTTATTTTATTTATCTTATGGCTACTAACTATTACACTCCTTTAACACATAACATCAATTCAGCAAAATCAATATATTATGTTGATACCGAGGGGTAAATACCTTGGGGGTAATCAGTGTACAAGGTGATGGTAATCATGGGTAATCATAGGTATAATCATTGAAAACAGTAATCTGGTGTACAAAACTTCTGTCAGGTATTTACCCCTCGGTTGATACAAATAAAAGTATAACAAGTCATATAAAATCAACAAATATAGGTAATGTATAATAAGTAAAAGTGTACATGCATGTAACGTTGTAACATTATAACATTTCTAGCAAAGTGAGATATTAGAAGGTACTTAGAATTTTTGTAACAAATTAAAATTGTCATATTTATTTTCTGAACATTGAACAATGAAAAAACCATAAAATCTGATCCCCAGCTACTATTAGATAGATTTTAATGAAATATTAATGGTATATAATATTAAATGAAATACCTTTAGGTACATATGAAGCTGGCAATGAGAATTTAAAATCTTATACTTCTGATGAGTCGTCATTTATGGATCCAAATAAACGAAAATTATTCCCCAACAAACGTTTTTGTTCAAGTTCGGATGATCAGTTAATAGTTGGATTAGAAAAGAAAACTAAGCACCTCGAAGCTTTTACTTTGCCACCTATGCCTTTATGTCAATCTAGTAAGTTTTGTGTGTGTTGATTAATGTTATTAATTAATGTATGTAAATTAAAGTTTTGAATTAATGTTCCAAATCCTGGTTAGGTAGGTTAGCTGATTATTTAATTATTTAATTTAAAATTCATACAGCTCAGAAAGTTGAAGTGCCTATCGAATCAACACCACCACATAGTGAGGTCATGGTAAATGACTTAAATATTTCACCTTCAATGTTCAATGATAACGACAGTAACGATTCTTTGACTACGCTTGTAGAAGGTATAAGTTACCAGAAAAAATCCTCAGAACAATCAAGAATAGGTAATTATTTTTATTTTTATTGAATTTTATAAAGCTTGGGATCTGTATACATGCTTAAAACTTTGGAATTGTATAAGTTTGTAATTAGATTTTAATAATTTTTATTATTTGCAGCTAGATTGAAAGATTCACCTGAAGTTCCTTTAATTAATACCCAAGTAGATTCGCAACCGACTTTTGGAATTGATCAAGTCACTAACCTACTTAACGATGGTACATATAATATGTTTGATGTTTGATCACTGCTAAGCTAGTATACTATAATTCATATATATTTTTATCTATTAAGTAGAAATACTCAAATACAACATTGTTTAAATCAACATCTGAAATCATGTAGTCACCATATTGCAGATTTATTAACTATTATTACAAATTAGTTTCAGATCAGTACAAATTAATTCAAAACACATTACATGAAATTAAAGTAGACATTGTTGACATACAAAATCAAATTCAACATCAAGGTTTACTATTGAGATTAAACAATGGAAATGTAGATGACTCACTTAAATTACCATTCGAAACCGTTTCAGAATTGGATGAGTTTGAGTTGAATCTCAAAGTAGATGAACTTAATGAAAGTAGATTGGTAAATATTTAATTTAACAAAATAGGTAAATAGTAAAATTCTATAAACAATTAATATTTTATCTACAGAAAAATTGTCTACTAAAAGTTGGACATGTTAAACAACCTTCAAAAACTGTTTACAATTTATTAAAAAAAGTAATGACTAATAAAGTAGCTGAAACTTTTAATATCACTGGAAAAGGGAATAAGAATGCATTTGGAAAATATAAAATATCCCAAATAATACAAAGTGAGTTGATATATTTTACTTATTAAATATTTTTACCTATATTAGAAAATTAAATATATGTATACTCAATAATGTTTAATAATTATTAAGCGTGTCTCTTAAGAGACAGTAGTGTATAGGAAAAGAGTGTTCTTTATATAGCTAGGACCCATACTGAAATTTCAGGTTCAATTAAAACATTTTATGTACACATATAGGTACTATATTTCACTGTACCCCATGACCTGTCCATACTTTTAAGGGCATAATTTTGTCTTTATGTAAAGGATTTTCCCTCACTGTTCTCTATTTTTGAGGGAGTAACCAGGATAATGTTAGATTATTGTAATGTACTAAATACCATGACAAAAAAGATAGGTAAATATATTATATATTAATAATTAAATAATTTAACGGCCAATGAAAGTAGGCGAACCATGAACCTATAGCTGGGAAGGGTGGGATGCGCTAATCGTACCAAAGCTCATATTTTGCTGACATGCCTATATTTTTTGTCATGCTAAATACTAACTAATATAAATGCAACTGTCAATATTTAAAAAAATAAATAAATAATTTTACATAATATTTATAATGTATGATGATAAAAATTTACATCTGTACATTAGAACCACCCGTTCTCTTCAATAATTTCTAGTTGATATGCTATAACTTTAGTGGTAAATTGGCCCATAGTGAAAAAAAATGTCCATACATACCACTAATTTTAGTTATTAGGTTAAAGTTAAGATTGTGTATTTTAATTAATTATTAATTATTTACTTTTTCATTTTTCAGATGTAGTTTATTCCTTACAGGGTACAACCGAAGTTGATTATTTGAATTTTTTAGGACTATGGCTGCGTCAAGCCAATAACCGTGGGGCTAACTAATCATTTAATTCATATTATGTATATTAAGTATATCTACTAACCTAACCTAAGACTGGTACGTTATTATTTTTGTTTATATATTATGTTATTAATATTAACTTTATGTCATGAAAACTATATAATATTTACACCTAAGACTGGTTAGTTATTTTTTTTTATATATATATTATGTTATTAATATTAACATTATGTGATGAAAACTGTATAATATTTACACCTAAGACTGGTTAGTTATTTTTTTTTTATATACTATGTTATTAATATTAACATTATGTGATGAAAACTGTATAATATTTACACCTAAGACTGGTTAGTTATTTTTTTTTTATATACTATGTTATTAATATTTTTTTTTTTTTATATATATTATGTTATTAATATTAACTTTATGTGATGAAATCTATATAATATTTACACCGAAGACTGGTTAATTGTTATTTTTATTTGTTTTATATAAATATATATATATATATTATCATGTTATTAATAAATAATTAATAAAAGGTACTAAAGGTATTTTCATTATTTTTTTAACTTTATATAGCAAAATTAAAAAAATTCTTAAAGAAAATTAATCAAAACTCAAGAATTGACACAATATTATGAAAATGAAACACTTGAAAAATGAAAAACCATCACTAATGTAAATAGTTGACATTCATTGAACGTTTATTAACCATATTTTACACATAGTTATTATACGGTTATTTAATGTTGATTAAACATATTTTAGACATGGTTAATATACAGATATTCAATGTTGATTAAACGTATTTTATACATGGATATAATACAGATATTCAATGCTGATTAAACGTATTTTATACATGGTTATTATGTAGATGTTCAATGTTGATCAGCTGTATATTAGACATGGTTATTAAACAGATATTCAAAGTTTAATAAACGTTTAGAAATCCATGTCTAATAAATGTATATTATGCTTACAAGTAAACCACTTCTAAATACGATATCCACGGTTTATCGTGGAGACTCCAACATTTAATAAACGTTTAATAAACTGATTTTTGCACACTGGGGCTCTTTCAAACGTTTATACTTGTAAGTGTGGCAACGTTTCCTCCAGATATTTGATAATAACGATAATAGACAAGTGTAGTGGAGGTAGGTAATGAATATAAATGTACCTGTATGGCTGTATATATGAAATGTTTTAAATTCTATATACAATAGCTGAATATTATGACATCAATACTACTGTGTGGAAACGATTAGATGTTTTTCAATTAACAGCTAGTGTTATTTATTGTTATTTAGTCATTTAGTGTGTACTACGTTGAATACAGACCATTACAATGTTAAAACCCAAAGTATTAGTTGTAATGAAATTCATTCCAGAAATTGCTATTGATTTACT